TTCTTACAAAATAGATGAAGAAGATAAAAAGAGATGTAAAGGAGTAAAGAGAAATGTAGTAAAAAATTATATTACACATGAAGATTATAAAGACTGTCTTATAAATAAGAAAGATCAAATGAGAAAAATGAATGTCATAAGATCTCATTTACATGATGTTTATACTGAAGAAATAAACAAAATAGCATTGAGTGCAGAAGATGATAAAAGAGTAATTCAAGAAGATGGTATTCACACATTAGCATATGGACATTATAAATTAAAAGAGAATAAAACATTGGTTCCTTCAGAACCCAACTTTTCATTTCAGATTGATTGGAAATAAACAGGCAGGCAGGCAGGCAGGCAGGCAGGCAAACAGGTAAGTTATTTTTTATATCTTAAAAAGATCTAAAAAAATCTAATAAAGTAATAAAAATGGACAAACATATCAATGTTGAAGGAATTATATTACCCAATGTACCCTTAACAAACTTTCAGTTAATAAAAGCAGCAAAAAAATTAAAAATTGAAAATTTTAGAGGTGTATTTGTAAGAGATGAATTACCTAAAAATACACAAAACAAAGAATGTGGAATATTAAATACTGGAGATTCAAGTACGAATGGATTTCATTGGATTTGTTGGTATAAAGATGGAGAAGAAAAATTAAGTTTTGATTCTTATGCACTACCACCTCCAGTTGAACTTGTTCAATATTTACACAGTCCTGTTTATTATAATAGTAAAAGAATTCAGTTTGGAGACACTTCTTTTTGCGGACACTTGTGTCTTTATGTATTAAAAAAATTAAATGAAGGTGTTGATTTTCAAAGTATTGAAAACTCATTATATTGAATTAAAAAAAATATAGTATATAAAAAAATGAGTATGAATATAGCCGGTAGTAATTCATTATATGGTTACACAACAGATGGATTAAATATCAACATTAATGTTGGCAATACAGCCACTACTGATGTTGATTTGAATTCACATAAATTGATCAATGTAGCTGATCCTACAGATGCACAAGATGCAGCTACAAAGCATTATGTAGATAATAATCAAACTTTAAGCAGTGCATGTCTAAAATTAGATGGAACTAATAGTATGAATGCTAATATAAATTTGAATTCACATAAATTGATCAATGTAGTTGATCCTACTAATGCACAGGATGCAGCTACAAAGCATTATGTAGATAATAATCAGATTTCTAGCAGTTCCTATCTAAAAATAGATGGAACTAATAGTATGAATGCAAATATTAATTTGAATTCAAATAAATTGATTAATGTTGCAGATCCTACTAATGCACAAGATACAGCTACAAAGAATTATGTAGATCGCTTAATTCCTTATCAACATAAATATAAAGTTTTGATTATAGCTGGTCAATCAAATACATATGCTGGTAGAGAATGGGGTTTATCTCAATCAATAACTAATGTAAATTATATGAACAGACGAATAGTCCAATTTGCGATGGATAATGGACAAAATGATGTGTTACTTCCTTGTTCATTGAGACTAGATGTGAATGAAACAGATAATAAATGTTGGGCAGGATATGGTTCAATACTTGCTGGACTTATAATGCAAGACGCTTTAGGTGCAAATACATTAAATATGATAAATCCTGATGAATGTTTAATGATACTTCCATGCATGCTAACTGCTAAAAGTTTCAGTAATGATTATTTTATGCCGTATGGAATTGGTTTTAAAGATTTAACTCGTAGAATTAATTACATTTCATCACATTATAACGCAGAGTTTTGCTGTATGACTTGGAGTCAAGGAGAAGACGATTCTATAACTGGTTGGTGTGATAACTATGCATATATTCTAATGAATTTTATACAAACCATTAGAGATTACATTGCATACTCATCAAACCAATTTGATACATTGCCAAACTCACAAATAAAAGCAAATAAAATGCTATTCATTACATTTCAAATGCTATCTTCATGGGTTCAAGCAAACTCAACTACAGCAACTCAAGTTCAAGATGCATTAAAAAATATTATAAATTTTTCTCCATATACAGCTAGTATATCTCTAGATGGTATGCCTCCCAGTCTTAGGAGTGCAAATTTCGATGGAGTACATTATGATTCAAGACAACAAATATTTTTAGCAAACAAATTTTTTGAAGCAATACCAATTGCAATGAATAATATATATGGTGGTGGCTATGGAACACCATATAATCCTGGAGAAGTATTATTAGTTAGACAAGTTGCTGGATATTTATTTCTTAACAATTATTATAGCGCCTATAGAGTATTTAATTCTACTCCATCTACTGCTCAATTATATAGTACATTATTTACTAATTGGCAGTATAAAAACAAAGATGGCTATTATAAATATAGACTTAAATATAAAATTAATGATGTATGGAATAGTATTATATTTAAACAAGCATTCCTTCCAATGATGTCTATGGCTTACCAAAATGTTGCACAACTCATATCAACAGATACACCATTTGGATGTACAGAATTAGGACAAGGATTTTGCGGTTTAAATTTGACAACTACAAAAAGCATGATGAATTCTGGAGCAGTACTTACACTAGATACAAGTGGTGGTTATTGGGCACCTGTATGTCAAAATATGAACTATTTATATAATGGACGACCTGCTATGCCTATATTTGATAATTATATACAAAATAGTACTCTTCCATTTGTAGCAACAGAACTAGAATTATATGCTATAAGAGATCCTTTATAATATTGTTAAGACAATTCTACTATGCTTAAGTAAAATCCTAGCGCATGCGCATTAAAAAATTAAAAAAATTTTGAAAATGAGTTAAATAATTTTCTTTTATATATAAAAAGAATGGAAAATAATATTAAAGAATTATTAAAATCAATAAATGAAAGATTAAGATTAGTTGAAGAAAAATTAAATATAATTGATATTCATGATATTGAAATGACTGAAGATTCTGAAGTTACTACAATTACTACTACTGAAGTTACTGAAATTACAGAAACTACTGAATATGTTAATGAAGATGATGAAGATGAAGATGAAGATGATGAAGAAGATGAAGATGATGAAGATAATGAAGAAATATTAAAATATGTACATGAATTAGGGTATAAAAGTACAAATGATGCTTTTGAAAATGCTGCTGAAAATGGAAATCTTGAAATTATTAAACATTTACATGAATTAGGGTATAAAGGAAAAGGACCGGCAGTTGATTTTGGATATGAATCAGGGTATAAAGTTACAGAATATGCAATTGATAAAGCTGCTGAAAATGGTCACCTTGAAATGTTAAAATATTTACATGAATTAGGGTATAGAGGAACAGAATTAGCAATTGATAGCGCTGCAGAAAATGGACATCTTAAAATATTAAAATATCTTCATAAAAACGGGTATAAAGGAGCAGAAGATGCAGTTAATAATGCTGCAATGAATGGACATCTTAAAGTATTAAAATATCTTCATAAAAACGGGTATATAGGTACAGAATATGCATTTAATTGTGCAGTAAATAACCAGATAAGCGAAGCATCAGATAGTAACCTTGAAATTATTAAATATTTACATAAATTAGGGTATAAAGGTTCAAAATCGTTTTATAATTTAGCTGTAGAAAATGGATATATTTAATAATTTTGATACACGTAGTGAATATAAATTCTAGTAGTGATAAAGCAAACCAATGCTACTACTACGCATAAGCGCTACTACGCGTAAGTAAATCTTAGCGCATGCGCATTAAAAAAAATAAAAAAATTGAAAAATAAGTTAAATAATTTTCTTGTATATATAAAAAAAGAATGGAAAATAATATTGAGAATAATAATTTTTTAATAAAACATTCATCTCAAATATATTATATTACTACAATATTAAAAAAAGAAGGTTATAAAGATAATTGGAATAAAGTTGACTTTGCTGCAAGTATATGTAGAAATGATCTAATTAAATTATTAGATCAATTAGGAGAAAAAGGAACAGGATGCGCAATTGATTATGCTGCTTATTATGGACATTTAGATCGTGTTAAATATTTAATTTCACAAAATCATAAAGTAAATTATGAAGCATTTATTTATGCTACTATAAATTGTCATTTACATATCCTTGATTATTTTCATGAGGAATTAAATTTAAGAGTACCTGATAATTTAATTGATATTGCTATAATTGAATTCTTAAATATTTCCATGAGGAATTAAATTTAAGAGGACCTGATAATTTAATTGATATTGCTATAATGGAATTGACATATTAATACTTTTTAATTAGCGCACAAGAGCAATCTGCGATAGCAAGAAAAAAAATTGAAAATAAATTTCTTTACATAAATTATAAATTAAAAAATAATAAATGGATTTTACAATTAAAGATATTAAATTAGGAAGTTATAAAAGAAGAATAAGTTTAGCTCGTTATTTTAAAAATAAAAATAAATTACAATGGGAAAAGTTAGAGAAGGAAAGATTAGAAGAAGAAAAGTTAAAAACACCAGATCAAATTTATTATTAAGAAAAGTCACGTCATTTTAAGAATTTTTCATAATATTTCATAACAAGAAATAAAATTTAACACTTATTTTAAAAAAATCAATTTTTTTAAAATAAAAAAATTATTTCTTATCTAAATAAATTATATACAACATGGTTCAATGTTAACCCCAATATTAATATTAATTTATGGCTGAAAATTTGGTTGAATATAAAAATGTCTCAGAATTCTCCTTTCTCTACTCTCAAAAATGTCCGGTTATCGGCATTTTCCTACTACTTATATATATATATATATATATATATATATATATATATATATATATATATATATATATATATATATATATATATATATATATATATATATATATATATAATATGTAAAAATAAAATTGCAATTCCTAAAATTCTTAAAGTTAAAAACTAATCTATAAACATTTTAATTAAAATTTATATATCAAAATCATATATGTACTAACACGCAACTCAAGCTAAAAATTAAGTATTACATGATCAATCCATTAGTTTGTGCTTTGATATAGTAGTTATGTGAATAATGGTATTTTAGAACTCAATTTTCGAGCTAACAGAAAAGGAGACTTTGCAAGTACTGATGGGTTAGCTACAATGTAAATAACTATATAGATATATTATGTATACAAAGTTATTTTAAATAAAAATTTTCTAAAGTATTGTAAATTTGATTTTAAAAAGTCTATCCTAAAAGGATTACATTGCTAAATATGTTTATCAGTCATAAAATTAACAGGTTTATCTAAAAGTAAAGGAGTTTTATATAAAATATATAAACTTTACTTCATATGTCCATTCTACAGTCTTTTGGTATAGTAGTCACACTTGATTTGAATAAAAATATCTTACAATGCAATTGAATCCTTGAGACAAGGTGGCTGTGGAAGTAGTGATCGTTTGACTATAATGTAAATCCGAGTGTATACGTATACGTATATGTGTATATATATATATATATATATATATATATATATATATATATATATATATATATATATATATATATATATATATATATCAGGCCTTGTTTTAAAGCGTTACGCCTAGAGCGATTTACGTACGCCTTAAGCGCTTTTTACGTACGCGTTTTGGTTAAGCTACTTTTTATCATTTTTTAACTTTTAAATTAGCGGTAACATAAAAGAAGTAATTAATTTTCAAAAAAACCACATTAACTTTTAAATAACGTTATGTAAAGGTATTTATTAAAAAAAAGAATTTTCTTTAAAAATAATTGTAACTTTTCATTGCGATATATCTTTCCTTTTTATAGCAATTAATTGACGCTAAACTTTTTATCCAAATATTTAGCAACATGAAAAATTGTTTGTCAATCTTTAACTACAAATTTTTTGCAATGTTTTTAATAAAAAGTAGTAATTTTTTAAAGTTTTTAGTAAAAAAACTTTTAAAAAATCTATATTACATATTTATTAATACAGAATATAAAAGTTTTTTGTAATAATAGATTTTTTATGAATTTTTTACTGAATTTATAATAAAAAACATTTGCAAAAAAATTTGTAATTAAGAATTGACATTTTTTTTTAATAAAATCTCAAAAAATGTCTTAATATTTTTGTTATCATGATAACAAAAATATCAAGACATTTTTTCGAGATGTTAAAAAAAATGTCTTTGCTTTTCTTATTAGTTTAATAGTATATAGCTTATAGTTAGTTTAATAGTATATAGCTTTTCTTATTAGTTTATTAGTATATAATTTAAGTTATGCGGGGGGAGGGGGTCGGCACAGAAAAAAAAAATTACCTGTTACTCGCAATATTTGAATGAAGACAATTTGTTAAAATTCTTCTGCGTGCGATTCAATAAGTTTTTTTTTTCATAAATCAAGTTATAATATAAGGTAAAGAAATCATGAGTAGACTACAACATCCGCTGATGACACTAATATTACGTTGAATATATTTATATAACGGAGGTTTTATTATGCACGCGCACATTACAGGTTCCGTTAAATAAATACTAAGGCACGTTTTAGTTTAATGACAGTCTCCATTTTTTACTAATGATTATGTATTTTTCTTTATAAAACAAAACAAACTAGTATATAAAAACCTTGTATATTTCTATTATCTCTAAATTGTTTAAAGTTCGAATATGGATTGTATTTTGAAGGACAAAAGATTTACTTTAAAAACTTTTAAATCTTGGGACTTTGCCGATGCTTTGCCGATGCGATGATCACAGAAAAAGAGAAGACTTACGTTATTAAAATCAAATGTAAGTTATGTGATCTTCATCAAAATAAAATATTATCCAAAAACAATAGTGCCGTAAGGGCAACTGCCCAACGGTTTATAAATAATACAAGTCATAGCTTTTTATAGCAATTAATCTTGGGACTTTGCCGATGCTTTGCCGATGCGATGATCACAGAAAAAGAGAAGACTTACGTTATTAAAATCAAATGTAAGTTATGTGATCTTCATCAAAATAAAATATTATCCAAAAACAATAGTGCCGTAAGGGCAACTGCCCAACGGTTTATAAATAATACAAGTCATAGCTTTTTATAGCAATTAATTGACGCTAAACTTTTTATCCAAATATTTAGCAACATGAAAAATTGTTTGTCAATCTTTAACTACAAATTTTTTGCAATGTTTTTAACCGTTTTTGCAATGTTTTTAACCGTTGGGCAACTGCCCAACGGTTTATAAATAATACAAGTCATGTTAAAATATTTTAACATGTTACTATATTTTAATTAAGTTGATATATAATTAAAAATAAAAATATAGTTCAATAAATAAATTAACGTTATTCTTAACAAAGATTACCTCATATTTATTCTTTTTTTTATTTTATTAAGTTAAATTGCTTTCAAACGAAAAAAAAAAGAGTTTTGTAATTATACGTAGAATGAAAATACTTTTGAGTTTGTTTATAAGTTAAAGAACTTAATTTTTAATAAACAAATTTTTACGAACGTTTATTATAAACAGATACGATTCAAATTATTAAATATACTTAAATTATTTCAGTTGAGTATTTTTTTAAGTTTGCACGATTAAAGTTTGGCGTAGAAGTATTTGTTTTTTTTTGTTTTAAGAATAATTAACAAAAGAGTTTGCATAGTTAAGACATTTATATTTAATTTAATTTTTTTTTTAATTTCCTAAAATTAAAAAAAAAAAGATTTAATCGTTGAAAACGATTTTTCTCTATAGCTCTGTTTCTTTGTGATTTGTTTAAAAAGTTAAATATTTTTACAATAACATAAAAAATTTATGAATTAAATTCCTAGCGAACGCGTTCTAAACTACGTATCAAAAATATGCACAAAGCAGACAAAACTTTTTTATATTTTTATAAAACGCAAGTTTGAACGCTTTTAAACGCTTTTGAACGCTTTTAAAAATTTAAAAAATATTTAAAAACTTAAATTTTTCTTTGTTAGTCGAAACAAAATCGTTGTTTAGTAATTAACATGGGTTTGCGTTTATCAATGTTAATATTTTTTGTTTACTCTAGAAATTATTAAAAATAAAAAAAATCATTATTATTTTTTATTCAATAACGATTAAAAACAATTATTCAAAAACAAATTTCAGAAATAAATAATATATATATATATTTTTTTTTACTAAATAATATTGAACTAAAATTAATAATAAAATAACAATTGAAAACATTACAAAATTTTCATAATAAATTTATATTTAAAACGTTTATAGTTTATATTTGAGTTAATTGTTAAATTGAATTAGTTTGCGGTTATTTATTTATTGCGGTAGTTAAAACACTTAACGCGGTAGTTAAAACACTTAACTTAAAAAAAAATACGGATAATTTTATGACGTCAAAATCGCGTTAAGCTAATGCGTTAAGCACTTTTTTATTTAAAACAAGGCCTGTATATATATATATATATATATATATATATATATATATATATATATATATATATATATATATATATATATAACACTATTTACTTTAACAAGCGATTTATTCAATTTTTAGTGCAATTTTTCCATAATTAACCATTTCTACTGTAATTGCATTAAACTAGTAATTAGAACTCCAAAGAAATTGAAATAAAAAACAAATTTAGATTAGAGTAACGCACAATTATGGATTAATTATATGTTATTATTTTCAGTTTATATATTATTAGTTTCTATATAAACATTAAAAATTAAAATGAAACCTCTAAATGATTTGTATAATCAGTACTTTTGCTTTTTTTATTATCTGCTGATTATCAATGCCTTCTTTAGTTTATGTTATTTAAAACTTTTGCAATCCTCATAACAATCTGTAAAAGGAATAACAAAACATCTTATCCAAAGCAATAACAAATAAATTTAAAAAGTAATTTTTATATATATATAAATAATAAATAAAGTAACATTTTTTGAATAAAAATAATTATATCACAAACTAAAATAACAATTCAATAAAATATCAAGCTTTTGGTTCTTCTGATCAAACAGCCTGGCGATAGGACATTTTGCTGAAATGTTAACACTAATTTGGTTGAAGGTACATCAACACATAATATTAACTTGTTACTAAACTTGTTAAAAGTGTTTTAAATAAGTTTAATCGTCTAGTTTTTTAGCTTTTTTTGGTCACTTTAGTTTTCCTAATTCCAAGAGATATACATATACATACTATATATTTCGACCCGTAAAATTTCAAGCTTGGTAGGACTTTCATAACATAATAAAATAAATGAAAAATAATGAAATAAATATTTCAATAGCTTTTGGATAAAGAGCATAAGATAAAAACAGAACAATTTGAACTCTCTTTTAACTAATTTAAACTTTAAAGACTTTAACCAATCATCGATGTACCTTTCAAATATAACAGGAATTACCTTTAATCTTACATTATTTTTTAAGCGTTGAATTTTTATAAATAGCTTTTCATAAGCCTGAGCAATTAGATTATGATTTAAAAGGACAGATGTTCAAATTTTAGAATCATATTTAAAAGTACAGAGTTTGCAGTTTATCTTGTGATTACTAAAAAAATGACTATAAGTTTTAAAAACACTACAGCTTTTCTTTACAGAAATAGCCAATAACTTAATTATTATTTTAGGAAAATCTAAATTTGAAAAATGAGTAAAAATGTCACAAAAAGTCAATTTACCACTTCATGCAAGTGGTAAAGTGTACTTGGCTGTTTCCTGCTGCTTTAATTATTGTTGCAACTGACTGGACTGTATATAAAATATTAAATGAAATTAAACATGGAAAACTTAATAAACAATAAAAAAAATATTTGCGCAGATTTTAGAAATATAATATAACTATGTAATATAACTATATTATTGTTCGAACCATGTTAACTTTTCTACTAAAGAGAAAATAAATGATACAATATAATAATCTATAATATCAGTGGTAAGTAAATTTATTTTCTCTTTAGTGGTTATCATATGTATGAATAATACTTAAACTTATAAAAATATTTTTTAGTTTACACTAAAAGCCTACACTAAAACTGAAGATCCATTTTATAAATATTTGAACCTCATAATTTTTGATTGGCAGTGACTGCACTAAAAGTGTAAATATTATAACATTGCTATTCGATCAATATAACATCTATCATAAACAAATAGATGTTAGGTCTTAATATAAACAAACAATAATAATTTTATTTACTTATTTAAAAAGTAGTTACCACTTAAAATGCATAATTTTTCTCTGAAACTTTTAGAGAAAATTAATGCATTTTAATTACTGCTAATTTTTTAAAACTGCTTTATTTAGTAGCAATAAATAAATAAAGAATAATCAAAATTTAACCCCTTATACAATATTATCGAAAAACTTACAGGACTTTTTAGCTGCTTCGTTAACCACAATATAATACTAAAAATAAATTTCTTTTATCTCTTCTAAACTATTTATTACATAATTTAAGATTCATAAGCAGTTCTAATTTTTAATCCTAATGAAAGATTCAAAATGTCCGACACATGTGTGAATTAAGATGGTTCCGTACGGAAATTGTTTGATTTAGCTTTTCAACGCAGATTAAATATTCAGAACACGTTTAGAATAGATTCCTAAACGTTTAGATCGACGTAAATGCCATCTAAACGTGATCTAAACCAATTTTAAACCAACAAATGCCCGTTGGGAAGGCGTCATTACAAGTCATTGTTTTGTGAAATCTTTTGTAAACGAAAAACGAAAAATAGTCTCCCAGAGTTAATACTGTCCCAGCTAACAATTAACGTTCAAAGAACGTTACCATAACGTTCGTTTAGGTTTGAATAACGTACGCCGCAAACGTTCTTTGAACCAACTTTTGTGACAGTTCTTGAACGTTCGCTGTGAACGTTCAAAGAACAAACAACGAACGTTGACCTATAGCTCCTGAACGTCCACCCCAGCTAAAAATTAACGTTCAAAAAACGTTACCATAACGTTCATTTAGGTTTGCATAACGTACGCTGCAAACGTTATTTTAACAAATTTTTGTGAACTCCAATTTACAGTTCTTGAACGTTCGCTGTGAACGTCCAAATAACAAACACCGAACGTTTACTGGAAACGTTACTTTGATGGCACTTTAACGTCCACCTTAAACGTGTTATTACGAACACTGACGTTTAGCCAACATTTTTTTTTTCTTTTTAATGTATAGATTTAAAGACACTTTCTGTTTAAACCTATGTTTGCTAGTATTTGTAATGTAAGACTTTTTTAAATTTACAAAACCTATTTTTACTTAATAAATACAAATTAACCATGTTTTATAGCTGAATTACACCAAATGAAGCTTATACGAAAACCAAACGATTTAACTATTTTTTATATATATATATATCCGAGGTTCGACGCCAGCTCCAGCCCAACAAGCGACATTGGTACGGAAGGAGGCGTGAACTTCCTATTAAATGCTCTCCCGCGGTGCTTTATGATAAGACCATAAGGACTTCTGGGAGCACCTAAATACATACAAAAAAAAAAAAAAAAAAAAAAACCATTACATTTACGATTTAATTTAAATTTCGACGACAGACACACAATTAGCTGAGCTGATTACAATAAAGAAAAATTTATTGTAATCAGCTCAGCTCAAAAATTTATTGTAATTTATTTTTTCATGCTTTTTTTATATATATATATATATATTCATTCCTGGTAATAGGTATTATTTTTATGGAATATATTTTATCACATATAAAATTAATTTTTTTTTTTTTAATATCAACCAACAAATTAATAAAAATTGTACAACATTTACATTTAACATTCAAAGTCTTAAAAATGGTTTGTTTGTTTTTTAATCAAATAATAAAAAAATATTTTTTTAAAAATGGCTGCTAGTTTACTGAAAATTAATTAAAAAGTCACATAGAAACATCAAAGATAAACTCATACTTATTTATAAAAAAATACTTCATTTATAAAAAAGTTCCACTAATGCTCCTTAGTGTGTTAGGTCCATATTTAGTTAGAGGTTTTAGTTAGAGTTAAATCATTATTTTAGGTTTTAAGACTTTTTGAAAATCAAAAATGTAAATTTTTACAAGAAAAAAAAAGATATCTTAAGATATATTTATTAACTTTCAAAATATCTAGCTAAAAAGAAAGATATTAATGCAAGTATCAATTTCAAATGTAAAGCTGTGTATAGAAGAGTTAACATAGTGATATATCGAGCATCTTTTTGTAGACTTATTTATTACGATTAAAATAATACGAAGAATGCGTAAAAATACATATATTCTTCCATAAACAAAAAATATAACTCCTATTTCAACATATTAAGACATTAAAACATTCAACTTTTGACCAATTAAGCCATGACCCATGGTTACTTTACTGCATATTTTAGTGTAGACTGAACCAAACGTAAAAATATTCGACATTTAATTTTAATAGTCGCGCGAACAGATTTTCGCGAAAGATTTTTGGCCAAAAATTAAAGCCGTAAAATGGCAAGGAAGTATTTTGTAATGTCTCACACTATTTGATACTATACTGTTCCGATTTTGAGGGACGCAGCAATTAGACCGGGCAACTAAGTTGCTCATGTCGCTTTTACTCTGCCACAATATTCAATATATTGCAAAAGTCACTAGAAAAATGATTGCCGGTACTTTTTTATTTATAACACAGCCTGCATTGCTAATAAACATTTTATTACAAACTGTTCAATTTTTTTAATATTACAAATGTTTATGATGTAATAAATTAAAATTATATTATATTGTTCATTAACTATATTTAAAGTTATACATTCATTAACTTGCCGTTAGAGATAAGCGATGGGTAATAGACGTGCATGACTGACCGTTAGGAGCCAGACACAGTTAAACGTCCTTTCATTGACTGACAGTTAAGGATATGCTTAGAAAAATATTTTGACATTAACTAGCGGTAAGTTTGTGAGAAGACTAAATTGTCACTATTAAATTTAAAAAAAATTTCACCTAATAAAAGCCATTTGTTTTTGTTTTTATTAGTTATTTTAACGCTGATGGAAATCAGTACTTTTTGTTGTGCAATGTAGCGTTATTAAAAAAGATTTATAAAATTAGCGAATATTAACGTTTTTGCGATTTTTTTTTTACATCAAACTAGAACACTACCTTGATATTGAGACCAATGTTTTTATATGATTTTTGATAAGCATGAAATTCTCTATCATATGATTAACTGAAAAAAATTTGGAATAATCTGCAGTTAGAGTTTACTCTAACATGTTAGTTGGAATCTAAACTAATATTAACTAAATATTAGTTAACTAAACCTGCAGATAGAACTTTGACATATCGGTAGTTCGCTCCTTTTAAATCAGATCGCAGTAAATTTTAGTTTATTTTGTTTGTCATGATACAAATAGTCCAATAAATTCATAATCATAATTTTTAAAAAAAACGTCAGTTAGACGAATTGATTTCATAGAGATGTCTCTTTCTGTTTTATGATTTCTTTTTTGATTTGTCATTATTTACTTTTCAACTTGCTATAATTAGCATAATCAATTAGACACAAAAATAGAAAGTGTAAATAACTTTGAACTTATTATTATTCATTATCCAAAAAACTGAAAACTTCAATTTTTAACCAAAATATTACCAGGAGGCCACCTTGGAAGTATCTTAGGTTTATAACGTTTTAACTTTTTTCTTTCTTTTTTTTCTTTCTTTGCAAACGGTTATGATCAGAGTGATAAAGACAAATAAAAACAATACTTAAATAAAAACAACTTGAAATAAAAAAATTCTTTAAAAAACGGTTTTACCTCAACAAATACATTTTTACAATTTTAAAAACAAATTTTAAACGTATATAAAAAATTGTAGACCATACTTTAATGGCGATGTTAACCTATAACATAAAAAAGTAAAGAAATCTCTTACTCGTCAAAGCTTCAGTAGAAATGACAAGGGGTGTTTATAAATGAAAAACTCAAATCAAATAGAGCAGGACTAGTAAAAATAATAATTAATAAAAAAAATATATTCATTATAGTTTAAAAATAATATTTCGTCATGATAACAAAAAACTTTTATCAACCAAACAAAAAATGAACTCGTTTTTTTTCTTCAACCAAATAATAATATAGTATATTAGTTTAGGTTGAAGGTTTAATGAAGGAACCATTTTGAGCCTCCTTCATCTAAATTTTCGGGTAATTTATATTCGCGTAATTTAGGAGATCCAGGATGACGCAATACCAACGTTTTTAAATTTTTATCTTGAATGGTATTAGAAGTCGGACCAGCGGATTTACGAAACTTATGAGGCCAATTTCCGAAGATTGATTGTCGAGAATGATGGGTATCGCTTTCAGTTTTATAGCTCTGTAACAACAAAAAATGTATGATAAAGAGCATTCACTAAAACTTTATATCAATAAACTTTAGCATTTAATTAAAAATATCTTTAAAATTAAATTGTGTGTCCTATATATATATATATATATATATATATATATATATATATATATATATATATATATATATATATATATATATATATATATATATATATATATATATATATATATATATATATATATTACATTTCAATAAAATACAACAAGTTATTCGAGCATATAAATGAAAAAGGCGTGTAATCAAAAAAACAATTCCTATAGCAAATAAAAAGAGATAAAGATATTGAAAAGTGTTACTGTTACAATAATAAATGAACCATACTGTTTTATACCAAAGAAATTCTATTTAAAAATTATATTGGAAATTTAAAAAGGAATAACACTAGTAACAATTCATTTCTAAAATTACTTCACAGTTAATTAAGTATTCAATTATTTTTGATATTTGTACTTAATGATATTCTGCTATATTTAAACCCAAAACAAATTATGGTATTAAAAAATTCATGCATATAAATTTAGTTTTACAAAGATCCAAATCAATTTTTGAAAGAAAATACTTGTAGATATTTTAGCCTATATTAAGTTTACAACACAATCCTGTAAATATATATCACTTGTTTATTTTTGTAAATATATCACTTGCTTATTTTCAATTCAAAGAGAAAGGGTTGTAGAACTCTTGCCTAAACATCTAACACAAAATATGTTTTGAAAAACCTTTTATTTTTTAAACATCCAACACAAAATATGTTTTGAAAAACTTTTTAAACATCTAACACAAAATATGTGTTAGATGTTTAAAACTTTTTATTATTTAAATTGCTTAAACACAAGTTTGAATTGCGTCAATATATATTTGATTTGTTCAAACAAATAATATACCGCATTATATTGCAGTTATCGATATATCGCAGTTATCGCATATTATATTGCATAAACAAATGTTTTTTCTGTGTAAATATACGTTTGTATTACGTAATTTTTGTGTTGTGTTAAATACATGTTTGATAAAGGGACATGTAAACACACGTCCCTTTATCAATTTTCTTGATTCCCTTTCCCTTCTATGTGTATTCCCGATTCATATAATCTGGCCTATGATCAACAGGTCATCTGACCAGTGATCTGCATAATTCATATAAATTTGTATTATATAATTAGTGGTTAGTTGAATCAACTAGAGCTTACTCGTCGTCTTGGTGAATGAAGACAAGACTGGCATACTGCGTCTATGTTCTTTAGGCTGCTTGTCCAATGTACGACGAGGTAATGTAGAGGACATACTATCGCCATTAGATGAAACAACTGCCTCTTTAATTACATCTAAAAATCCCGGTTTAAGACGTTTGGTTGTTGGACTGAATGAAGACTCTTGAGCCATGTCTTGATTCTGCAGAATATGCACCAAGTAATCATAATCAATATATTATTATTTTATTTAATAAAACTTTTTAAATATGCGTTATTGAAAAAAATAAAAAAGATTTAAACTATATTTATAAAAACCAATAACAGCAAATATTTAAAACATACACAAGAAAAATGAGAAAAACATTTAAATGAGTAAGGTGTTAAAACCATGACCAGAATACAAAAAAAGGTTCTAGTAAGGAGATGCCTTGAGCATTAGCAAAGAGAAAAAATGTTAGCGAAGAAAATTGTTAGTATGTAGATACGAATGTGTTAGCGAGGAAAATTGTTAGTAGGAACGAAAGTGTTAAATAAGGAATCTAAGAAACTACTACAAATATAAATAATCTATAAAATAAATAAAAAATAAACAAAAAAAGAATGAAATTAGATCCAACCACTCACTGAGTAACATTAAGTTCATAACTTTTTAGTTGTTAGAAATTTAAAAACTAAAGTAAGCAAAATATATCAGCATCGCGTCAAACTAAACATGCTGATATATGCAAAACATGCAAAACTTTAAAATAATTTTTATGAATTTCAGTTGTAAAATCGCTTTTAAATATTAAAAAAAACAAACAACTAATACTGAAAATAATTTAAAAAACAAGTTAATTTTGGTTATAAAAAATGTACACTTTCTGTAGTTTAGACGCATCAAGTTTTTTTCTTTAAATTGAAATATTTTTTTAAGTATTTTGTCCACCTTTAACTAGAAAACAAGCACAGAATCTTTTTGGCACAGAATTAACCTTTTATTTCTACCATGCTTCCTTTACCATGGTTTTCTTGATGAACATTTGTTAAAACTAGTTGGATGATGTGCAAGCAAAATGCATTAACCCATTTATTAATAACGCCTGCAAAAATCAAATGGAGCAGATAAAATAAATTAAAAATATTTTATTTTAAATTTTAACTTTTGTGTGTTAGTCCACACTATTCAGTTATAAGTCGCTTTGATATTTACTTTGAAACTATGGCTCAGCTATTAGATTTTTTTTGTGAAAATGTAATCTCTCTTTTTATATATATTTTTTTAGCCAAACAAATTATGGGCAACATTAAATTAATATATTCTTGAGGCTCTCATTAATTGGTCCTTAGTCGTTCTGATACATTTTTCTGAAACCATAACTAGTCCAGCAATTTTTTTAAAATAGAAGCAACAATCCTTTTCTTGTTTTCTCAAAACAACTTTTTTCTGAACTTTTTTTAAAATAGAAACAACAATCCTTTTCTTGTTTTCTCAAAACAACTTTTTTCTGAACTTTTTTTTAAAAAAAATAATTGTTTGAATTCTTTGACTAACAAATGATAATTCAAAAATTGGAATAAAAAACCAATTAATTTTTAGGTCCTAATAATGTTAAAACAGAAGTATGTAAAAAATAATACAGAATTGCTAAAAATAAAAATTATTCCAAATAATAATAAAAAAAATATTTCAAAAAATGTACGCCTAAACTTTTGAAAACATCATCTAGAAAATTATTCATAAAACTGTATTGTTTTTAATGATTCTAACAAATTATTTATATCAGCAGGAAAACTCAAACAAAAATAATTTAAGTAAATTTTCAACATTAAGTGTTCAAATTTAAAATTGATTGTAAAGTGCATCTAAAACTTTTGAAAGTTGCATTAATAAATATTTAGAAATTTGAAAACAACTTAAAGTTTAAAAAAGTCAAGATGGCCATATTAATAAATTTAATCAAATAAAAAGTTAAACACTTTGACCCAGTTTTCTATTATACACATACAGTTTAAAACAATTAAAATGCTTACAGAACTTGTAACAATTGAGGTTGCACTATTGGCTCTTACTATATTTCCTTTGTGTATGTCATTCTTACCTAAACAAAAATAAACAGCTCAATTATTGACAAACTTAAAAATTGACTGTTAAACATTTTGTACATTTTAAACTAAATTTTATTAAAATTTAATTTAAAATCTACAAAAAAAAAAAAAAAAAAAAAATTTAAATTGAAACATATATATACAAAAAAATATATATACAATATATATATATATATATATATATATATATATATATATATATATATATATATATATATATATTCAATATATATATATACAATATATATATATATATATATATATATATATATATATATATATATATATATATATATATATATATATATAAATATAAATATATATATATGTATATATACAAAAAAATATATATACAAAAAAAATATATATATACACATGCATACATATAAAAAATTTAACATTTATATACAAAAATTTAAAATTGAAAAATAAACAAAAAATTTAAAATTGAAACTTATCATGGAGTTTAATTTGAAAAAAGTAAAACTGAATTTTTTTTTTTGCAAAATATTGTTACTAGGCAATATCATATACTTTAAAAATATTGAGTATTCTTTTAGAATACACTAAATTTTTTATATTTAATATCTATGGTTCCACATTTGTGTAATTTGAACAAGTTTCTATAATGTCATTATCCTATTTAAGTATGACAGTTTGAAAGAGTTAAAGCAGCATTTTACAACTGAATGCCTATCCTGGCAATAACCTGTTTTGTAGATCAGGATTGAGATTTTAATTTTCCATTACCTAGAAGATTCCACTCAAAAGTTTACAAGCTGTTCCTACCTATACCTATAAATTTAGGGGTTTTACATTAGAGGTTTTCTTTTCCTAGGAAAATTGCCTTCACCATGACCAAAGGACCTGCAACAATATAGGATCAGTTTAACGACAATACTATTATCTAAATATGTATTGTTTATGTTAATTAAATTTTTTTTAAAGCTAAATAACTAAATGTAAATAATTGGGTTTTTTTAATACTTGTATAAATTTCTTCCTTTTCTTGACATTTGTATAATGAACCAAACTTTTTTATTATTTGTTAAACTTGTAATTTGGGCTTTGTAATTAATGATGATTTTTTATTTAAAAAGTTAGTGAGTAACAAGTATAAAACTTAACTTATTGCAATAATAAAAAAATAATTATACTTTACCAGATATTTTGTTGTAAAAGCAAATATTGTTTTGGTTTTTATTGAACTTTATTATTATATCTTTTACTATTAAATAGAAGTTGAGTAAATTTTTACTGCTATAAAAAATTGTTTAAATAAATATTCTAGTGCTTGCAAAATGATAAATAAAAGTTTTAAAAATAATAAAATACAAACTTTTTTACATAATCCTCATTTGAACTTTCAGGCAGTTTTTATAACTTTAATTACTTCTTTTATCTTAAAAGATTTTCTTTAAATATTAAAAAATGATAAAAAGCTGATTATCCCAATCGCTTAAAAGTGTAAAATTGCTTTAATTGCACGCTGATTAACGCTTATATATACTTATATATATACTTATATATATATATATATATATATATATATATATATATATATATATATATATATATATATATATATATATATATATATATATATATACAGTACTGGACAAAAGTCTGAGATCAAGGGTTGAAAAAGACGAAAAACTGATTTTAACCATAAAATTTTATTCAATGAACAACCATGTCAATTTTTTCCAATATAATTCATATTAGTAATTCAACATAATTCAGAACACAACAATTTATTGTCAGCATCACTGATGATGTGAGGAAAACTGATGAGTAATACAATTGTCATATATGTAGTATGTTGCACGCATAACTTCTTTGAACTTTATATGAGCCATGCACTATATTATTCGGTTTTGCGTTGATATTTGCGTTAGTTTATTACTGCGTCATGGCAAATTATAGATTATGTAATAGTTTATAGCAGATAATAAACATAAAAGTGTCCTAGGATTGACGCATATTAGCGCTGTTGTGGTATTATGTTGTTATATACATGCATTACATACATACATACAGTATTGCATATTTATATAGTTATTGTTTAATGAATCTGGCATTTGCTGTTTGTGCTTCAAATTCTTGTTTTTGATTTTAGCATTAATTTTCTTTCATTGAAATGTGTGAGTTACAAATATCAGTTCGAGCACAGATCAGTATTTTAAAAGAGGAGGGATACACGAGAGATATACGAGAGAAGCATTGCTGAACGTTTGTCTGTTTCTAAAACTGCAGTTCATAACACAATAACTCGATTGCAGCAGACTGGCAGCTTAACTTCCCGAAAAAGATCTGGTAGACCAAAATGTACCGCTATGCAGACTGACCGCTTGATTCATCGCACTTGTACTAATTCTCCAATGTCATCATCCACAGTAATACAACACAACTTGCCATCCTCTGTTACTGTTTCCTCCAGAACTATCAGACGAAGACTATCCACTGATTTCAACCTGCATGCCTGGCGTCCTTCCATTAAACCTAGGCTTTCTGCCAAGAACATCAAGGATCGGATTGCCTTTTGTCAAAAGCACAAAGACTGGACAGCGTTGGATTGGGCGCGAGTAATGTTTTCAGATGAAAGTCAAATAAAGCAGTTTGCTCCTCTTCATTCTTTTGTTTATAGACCTGTTAATCAGCGACTGAATCCCAAGTACACCAAATGCAATGTTAAACAGTGCCAATCAATCATGGTCTGGGCTTCAATTTCAACCAGAGGACAAGCAGGTATTTGGTTTACGCCTCCTGAAACAACCATTATTGCCAATGAATATCTTAAAATTTTGAAAAGCAATTTGCTTCAGTGGCTGCCTCTTTCTGGTTGTACAATCTTTCGGCATAATGGTGCACCATGTCACCGGGCAAAGGTGAGACTAAATGGCTTGCTGAGAAAAATATTCAGGTACTTTTTCCTTGGCCGGGATCCTCGCCTGACTTAAATCCAATAGAGAATTGCTGGCATCTGTTAAAGAAAAAGGTAGCCGCTTTAAAGCCATCATCATATGTTGATTTGAAAAAAAAGATAATGTTGGTTTGGTCCAATGAAATCACTCCTGCTTATTGTGAAAATTTGATCAATTCTATGCCCAGGAGAATTACTGCAGTGCTAGCGGCTAAAGGAATGCCCATAAAATACTGACATGACATGGACATTTTGTGTTTTATTTCACAAAGTATGTTGTACTTATTCCTAGTAATATGAATTATATTGGAAAAAATTGACATGGTTGTTCATTGAATAAAATTTTATGATTAAAATCAGTTTTTAGTCTTTTTCAACCCTTGGTCTCAGACTTTTGTCTAGTACTGTATGTATATATATATATATATATATATATATATATATATATATATATATATATATATATATATATATATATATATTTGTACCTCAGAATACAAAGGTTGGTTGACCAGTTTTTTGTGAAAATGAGTTATGTATGAGATTTTTTAAATTTTTTTTAGTATTTACACAGAGGTATTAAGACTGTTGTCCTACAACAATGTGAAACAAAGTTTTTTTATATACTTATTCTTTACTTTTTAGTCTATTTCAAAAATGTTGTCAAATAAAATATTTTTTTAAATATATATTTTAATGATTTTTTTTATTTACGCTAAACTAAAGTTTGTTTTGCATCCTTGTTTTAAATTACTCTTTTTTAACGATTTCATTTATTTGATATATAGACTAATTATTATACTACTTCCTCTCTAACAATTTCTAAAATGTGACAACCGACTTCTGAGGTACAGATATACTAACAATGTGACCTTTGACTTCTGAGGTACAGATATACACACACACAAACATATGACAACATATAATATATGTATATATATATATATATATATATGTACATATAATATATGTATATATACAGGGCTTGTAATGAATCGAGCGCAATCGCGCTCCGCTCGTGAAACGCGCCCATAAATGGTATTTTGAAACGTTCCAGGCGCGATATGTAGAAGAGGAATATGTAGTGATATGTATAGATATGTAGAAGAGGAATATGTATGCGCGATATGTAGAAGAGGAAACACCGTTGACAACAGTTGAGGGGAAAATCTGTTATTTAACCTATAATGAATAGTTTAAAAAAAAAAGATTTTCAAACTTTCTTGTGTTATTTTTTTAAGATTAATTTAAAAAAGAAATTTTAGAAATAAATTAATTTGAATAAAAAATATCAAGAAATATAAAAACTATTTTTAAACACATATATCAAAACAACGAAACAAAAAAAGGCACTAAATTATAAAAAAGTCACTAGATTATACTTCAATACTAAATCAACAAGAAGTTGCGTTTTTGTTTGATATATTTTTTTTATAACATAAATAGTTAAAAAAAAATCCCGACCTAACAATATACAAGAGTGTTAATTCATGAGTGTGATACTAATTATAACATTTGTCGACAAAAGAATGATGTAACAAATAAAAAAAGATCTTCTTCAGCAATTTTCATGATCGCGCTCGTCGACATTATCTCGAGCGCACATAATCACGCTCGATGAAAACATATTTTAATTTTAGGAGCGCGATATAACACGCTTGACGATTTTATTCGTCACAAGCCCTGTATATATATATATACACACACACTCACATGGACACACAACATCTTTGTGTACTTAGCCTTGCATAAACCATTATTGATGACATCATACTTAAATAGTCATCTGCAGGGGCTTCAACACAGACATCTACTGAGGGTTTAGCCAGGTACTATATACGACTTTTTTTTTTTTTTTTTTAATTATCTTTGCTTCCAACAAGGCTGCAAGCAACCACTGATTAGTGTTAAAGGTTACTGGAAGAGAAAAGATGAAGATTGTGGAGCAAGATAACGATTGACAGACGACTTAAAAAATTGCAAATTATATGAATCAGGAAAGCAAGATGAAGGAAACGAATTCCAAAGAACTGATGTTCGAGGAAAAAAACTAGACGAATAAGAGTTTTTGGAGCACTTAGGAACAGTAAGAGAAAATGGATGAGACTTAATTGAATGACGAGTAACACGAGAATGAATTTTAGTAGATGGCACAAGAGAGGCTAGCTCTTTCGAGCAATGACCATTATAGTATTTGTAGAAAAGAGAAAGAGAAGCAACATTACGACGATGTGACAGAGGTTGAAAGTTGGCTGCAAGAGCAGGTCCAACTATGTTTACAATGTGTTTTTGCACCTTGTCTAAAAGAGAAAGGGCATCATTAGAAGATCCGCCCCAGATATGGCAACAGTATTCCATACAAGGCCGGATTTGAGATTTATAGAGATAGAGAATAGAATCCAGAATAAGAAAGTGACGAGCTCGATAAAGAGAAGCAACTTAGGCAGATGCTAATTTTGCAACAGATTTAATATAAGGTTTCCAAGAAAGATCAGAAGTAAGAGTTAATCCTAGAAGATGAAGGGTAGGAGACTCATCGAGTACATTACTGTTCATAAATAAAGGAAGGTCTAAACTATTGCGATAACGATTGGCCGAAAAAAATTGAGTTTTATCTGAATTAAAGTTCACCAGCCACTGTGCTGCAGCAGAAGTGAGATCCTTTTCAAGCTCAGATGCCCCCTACAAGCAATCAGAGGGAGTTGGATTCTTATTGTGACAAGAATAAATGGTAGTATCATCAGCGAACAATGCCACCTTAGATGTCAAAATATCTGGAAGATCGTTAATGTAAATTAAAAAGAGTATAGGGCCAAGGATTGAACCTTGGGGAACCCCTGAGGTTACAGAATAAGAAGAAGAGTGCTGTCCATCAAGGACAACTTTTATACTACGATTGGAAAGAAAAGATTCAATAATCTTAAAGATGTTTCCAAATACACTGTAAGAAGAAAGTTTATGGAGAAGACCAGCATGCCAAACTTTATCAAACGCTTTAGAAATTTCAAGAGCAATGGCCTTAACCTCTCCATCTTTATCTAATGCGCGATAAAACCTATTGGTTATTACTGATAGCAAATCAGCCGTAGAATGAGAAGATCGAAATCCATATTGATGATCAGAAAGTAGGTTATGAGATTCGAGATTCGAGATTAAGTGTTTGTTAATTAAAGATTCAAAAACCTTGCTTATGATAGGAAGAAGACTAATGGGATGGTGGTTAGACGAATCGGATTGCTCTCCAGAATTTTTAAAAATAGGGATAACAGAAGCTGCTTTCCAGCAGGCTGGAAAACAAGACTATCAGCAGGCTGGAAGACAAGTGATAAGCACTTGTTAAATAGTTTTGAAAGGATAGACGACAGCTCCGGAGAACACTTCTGCAAGACTATAACAAGGATGACTTTTATAATGGAAAAAAAAAATTAATTTATTCCATTATTCTTAATATTTATCTCATTTTTTCTGAAAAAACTGGAATTGATTCAGCATTTTAAAATTTAAAGTGTGCAAAATATATTAGGACAGTGCTGCCCTAAATCTGCATATGTGTGTGTGTTTTTTTAATTTCTTAATTTGAAAATGTGTGTTTTTTTAATTTCTTAATTTTGAAAAATTTAATTCCTTGTTTTAAAGTATCAACAATAAAAAACTAAAATAAAAAGTTCAAAAAAATATAAAAGCTTACAAATTCTATTAAAAATTATTCTAAATTATCTCATCCTAACTATATTATTATCATATATATATTGTTTATATTGTCTTAAAACAATAAAAAAATAACAACAACCAACTAAAAAGTTTTTGTCCATACCACTAGAAGCATTAATGTCACTCATAGAAGAAAACACACCAGATTTAATAGTTGATTTTCCAATTAAATGCAAATCATTCAAGCTGTTTGTCTCTATGCTTTTTTTTATTTGTACACTCTGGTCAAGCATCAGAGATTTTGTGCGATCTTCTTTTCGCATGTTGTGCCAAGACAACTGTTTCGATTTACTAAGAGCTATGCATAAAAAAAATCATTTTAAATACGAAAACGCTGTTAAATAAAAAACACACATATAAGACCAATTCCAAAACTATTATTTAGTATCTAATATATACATTATCATTAGTGTTAAATAGTTATATAGATTTACCTGGGTAATACCCGGGTATTACCCTAATCATTTTATTAATTTGATGTTACAACAGCTATTAAATAACCTATGGGGTGTAAATTTAGTCAATTTTGAAAAAAAAAACCCCAAATAAAAACAAGTTTTTGAAAGGTTAAAATGAAAAAATTATACAACTTTTTATAATTTTTTGTGCATCAAAGGTATCATCTCCCAATTGATTTCCTATTTTCGTGGCAAAAAATTCCATGGCTGAAAAAACTCTACTAATGTTGGTTTAATAGTTAATAAAGCTTTAAAAAGTTTTTCAAGGTTTTTAGGCCACGAGTAGCTTCAAAATAACTTATCTCTTTTTTCAATCTTATCTACGGTGATATAGCTCCATTGTTTATTGAACAGGAAATTCATCTGAAAGAGGTATTTTTTTTCATCAATTTTTAATGTTTGATTAGGTTTATTAGTAACTTCTAAATCGACTCGTAGCTTTTCACCTGCTTTCTGTGGATAAAGTCTGTTTAAAAGTGAAGTAGACAAAGATATGGTATTACATTTTTTTTATTTTTAGACCAAACTGATCCTTTTGCTCTTCCAAAGTGTCTGGAGATTTTAAACATTGTATTAAGTGAACAAAATCGGGGTTTCTTTTTTTTTTGAATTTAGACTTCACTTTTTTCTAGGAGAGCAAGACTTATTTATGTCCCTTGATCTTTCGGCTTCTTAGCAGCAAATTCAGTAACTTTTTCAGCAAGCAAAAAATCAACATCTTCCTTGCATAAATATTCTACAGTCATCTTAATGGGAGCAAAAGCATCACATAGTTCTTTAATCTTCTTCAAATCTTTATCAGAAACATCAAAATTCTTGTTCAAGATGGATCATTGCTACTTTAAATTCTTTACAAACTTCATTTAAACTGCGTAGCATTTTAATAAGGCTATTCTATCCAGTTTTACAATCTAAAAATAAAGCTTTTTCCTTTCAAAAGGATTGAATATTTTGAGGTTGAAGAATGTTATCATTTGTGACTGGGGACCATCTGAAGACTTAAATGATTTTAAGAATTTTAGCAACAATAACACCAATATCAGAAACTAGGTTTGTCTTAGTGCTAAATTAATCACATTCCTCTAGTGTTTCTTCATCATCCTTTTCCTCTTCAGTTTTGTCATAAATTCAATCATTGTTTATATTATGAGATTTATATAGTATATCACAAACACAAAGATGGATTGCATGTGTCTGACAGCTAACATGAATGGGACTAGTCTTTTTTCTGAATTTCATCATAACACTTGCACCATCAGTGGTTGTTGCTACAATTTCATTATCTAAATCTATTAACTGTAATTCAGATAATCTTAACTTAACAAGTTGAATTGAAGCTACTTCAGTGTTTATGTTTCCGTTGACACAGATCATTCCTAGTGATTGAAAACCATCTAAACCATGTCAGTTCAGATTCATAAAACGGCGGTTTCTGACTGAAGTGGATTCGTTAAAGCTAATAGTAAATGACCTTCTTCTTCTTGTATCTTTTGAATGTCTTGCTTAATGATGGTGATAGTTTTACCATATTCTGCCATAAATTAATCTCTGATATTTTAAGGACTTTTTGGCAAAGTGTCTGATTTAAATGCTCTTCTAAGCAGAACACTATTTGCAAGTTGGTTGAAACTAAGACCATCAACCGCAACCAATTTGCTTACCACCTCACCAATAGGTTCAAAGCTTTCTTAAAGAAAGTATCAATGTGAAAAAATTAAATATATATATATATATATATATATATATATATATATATATATATATATATATATATATATATATATATATATATATATATATATATATATATATATATATATGTATATATATATATACAGAGACGATTCTACTAATAAAATGAGGGGGGTAAATACTCAAAAAGTACAAACTAGCTTTTTTTTTTTTAAAAAAAAAATAGGTCCTCAAAATGAAAATTTAACCAACTGAATTGTGTCAAATAGCCGACTAGTTGATTAAATTTGTAAAAAAACTGACTATAATTTGAAAACCACCTTCTTTGGGGGTGGGGGGTGGGGGGGTGTAACACGGGGGTGTAAATGTATGTATGTATGTATGTATATATATATATATATATATATATATATATATATATATATATATATATATATATATATATATATATATATATGTATGTATATACTAAAAAAAACATTTATAAATTTGTAAATAATGTTAATAACAAATAAATTAAATTTAAACTTTAAATTCATTATATAACACGCCAAAAATCTTAATTTAAATATTGTTTATATTGTATTAGTATTTATCTAAGAGCTACAGACTAAACTGGAAATCTCAACAAATTCAATAAATGTGGGTTTATATTATCAAAAATTTTTTATACATATCTTCACAAAGTTGATCATAGTCAAAAATGTTCATTTACAAAAATAGCTTTTAAAAAACTTATAAAATTTAAAATGACCTGAAATTACCCGGGTAACTTATCTCTTTTTTCAATCTTATCTACAGTGATAACTCCATTGTTTATTGAACAAATTAAGGAAATTCATCTGAAAGAGTTTTTTTTTCATCAATTTTTAATGTTTGATTAGGTTTATTAATTTTTCAAAATTACTCGTTACCCAGGTAATTTTGAAAAATTACACGGGTAACAGGTAAGAAAAAACTTGCATATTACCCGGGTAACGGTTAAGGTAATACCCGGGTAAGAAACACTACCTCAATCATATTAAAACTCAAATTCAAAAGCTTGAATCCTTAGAGACCAGAGCATATAGCACCATTAAGCAATGTGAACTTAATGGAAAAGAAAAATCCTTTTAATGAGAAAAAAAAAAGAGTTCATAAATTCTTAACTGGGAATACTAGCATCAATTTTTAAATATAATTTTTTCAATTATAATTTAATTATAATTAAATTTAATTATAATTAAAATTATTTCTATTATATTTTTTTCAACATTTTTTCAACATTCTCAGGCAACATACACAAAAAAAATAAATACTGATTTCAAATTAAATAAGATCACATTTAAATGGTTTTTACTACACAAAAACAAAAGTTTTTAATAAATTGCTTAAAAATTTTTGAGTTATCATTTAAAAAAAAAACACAAAAAAAACAAACACTTAATTTCAAAATTTGTAACATTTCAGTTTGATTTTATCAAATCATCATTTTATTAACTGAGCACAGGGATATAGTGTTTTCATTAATTGAATAGCGAATAGAAAATAGTTATTCGTTAAATTTTGATATCAAAGGTTAAGGGAATATAACTATAGTACTATTTATTAATAATCGTAAAATGAATATTATTCATTATATGAAGTTCAACAAATAATTATATTTAAATGATAGTAATAACATTTTTTTTTTCAAATTTATTTTTTAAATTGTAATAATATTTTTAGTATTATTTTTTTAAACTTAATAGTTCTTTCAGTTAAACAAATAATACTATTTCTTAAATGTATAACCATATGTATACAATTTTATACTTCTAAACAACAAAAATAATTTTATACTCCTAAACACCACATACAATAGTATGTGGTGTTTATAATTTGTTATACAATAGTACAATTCGTTTAAGAAATAGTACTACTCATTTAACAAATAAAAACTATTTGTTTAATAAATAATACCATTTGTCAACAAATTAAACTAATCGAATAACAATTAGTATTTTTTTTCTAAACAATTTATTGAATAAACATTTTAATATTTTTATTTTAAAACATGTAGAACATTTATTTTAAAACATCTCTTAAAGTTATACAAGTTAAAGATATTAAACGAAAAAAATTATTACCGATTCGTATATTTTCAATACCAGTTGTCTGAAAAAAAAAAAAAAAAAAAATGCAAAAGGGTATATATATATATAGTAAAATAAAATCAAGATTTCAATGTAATTTTAACTTTTCTAGTGTCAAACAAATATCTACAATATTATCATAACATTATTATGATGAAACTAACAAACATTTACAACATCATACAATTAATTAGTTAAAATCATACACAATATTAAACTAAAAAAAAAAACAACCTCTCTTATATATTCATCAAGCTCCTCAACAAATGAACATCTTGTTTTCTCATCTTTAGTGTTGAAAGCTGCCACCACTTTTTTGTCGAATTTTCCAGATAATAAAATTCCAAATTTATAATCTAATAATTAAATTAATTAAAATTATGTTAAATTTTATTAAACATTAAACAGAGTAAACAAATTTATTATATTCATAATGACTATATAATTATAACTGTAATAAAACTACTACAGACCTCCAAAAATTGAGGTAAACAAATACATTACCATTATTTCTTCAGGACAATGTTTTTCTAATAAGAATGCATTCAAGTTGTACATTGTCTTTTAATATGTTCTTTTTTCCATAATACAGAAATTAATTCCATGATAAACTTTCAAGCCTTTTATAACTTTACAATTTTCAGAAAAATACTAAAAACTTACATTTTTAATTTACAAATAAAAATGTCAGAAATGTCACTTTTTTTTGCAACATTTTTTTTTTAAGAAGATCACCATGACTAATATATAATAACAAATTATGTTTTGACATAAATAATCATAAATTATGTTTTGATAAAAATTTTAAAAAACTTAACAAAAAACACAGAACTTACTTTCATTGGAGAATACAGCAACACATTTTTCAAGTAATGAAAAAGATGCTTTACAACTAAAAACATGGCCAGATCCATGAACACCAGTTTTTCCACGTGGTTTTGCAAGCTAAATAAAAATTCATTGTAATAAATTTATTGAAATAAATTTATGACAATTTATTGTTGCAAATTTATAGCAATTTATTGTAATAAATTTATTACAATAAATTTATTGTAAAAAAAAAAAATATTTTAGTTGATTGTGTAAGTAAAATAAAATTTTTTAATCCAAATAAAAAGAAATAGTGACCGAATAACAAAGTTTAGTAGGAAACAATTGTTTCTCACATCTTCTGAAAATTGTGCTAAAATAGTTAGTAAGGTAAAGAAAGTAATTTGAAAAAGTTTTTATCTTAAGAATATCATTTTTCTAGATCACTCTTTATCTTTTTTTTATAAATTTATTAGCTTAATACTACAAGAGGGGTACATAGTGGCCCAATATTGTTAATATGTTAATAACTATGATCAATCATCATTACCATCCTTCATTAGTATTGAGCAGCAGCTACCAAACCCCTCAAAAAATAAAGTTTTTAAATGCACTTTTTGCTTTAAAATATTAAACTAGGATACTGATGGACCGAAAAACAAATTTTTTGTAAATTTAATAGTCAATTAAGTTAACAGGGTCCTTGAACACTGAGTAAACAAAGTTTGCTTTGTTTACTCGATGTTCAAGTACTAACAATTTACATCTAAAAATAAACGATCCCTGAAAATAAACTTTCATCATTTGCCAATTCTATCTAATATTGTAAATCATTGAATGGAGCTTTCCATAACTGACAATGCGATATTTACAGAATGCAAAAAAAATAGTTGGCTCTCTATCCATAATAACTACTTTATGTAGTAATTTATATATATCAGCTATAACAAAGTCATAAAACTTGATAAACCAAAGAAAACTATAAAAAAGAGGCATGTTAATGAGAAGCATGAAAAACTATTATTCTTATTTTATATTCAAATTAAAACGATTATTCTTATTCCCAGATGTTCCAGTCTAGATGTTCCCAGATCCAAAGTTTCTGGGATATTAAATGATGGAAATAAAGTCAGCAGATTATTAAAAAAAAGAATTTTTAAATTTAGAAAAAGATGAAAACTGTGCAATTGCTGCCAATGCACTATGCTAGGAAGAAGAGTTGTCAAGGAGCTTTACTATACACTGTGAAAGGAAAGCTCATTAACAACTCTTGTTGTTGAGCAACAATAATCTCTAAAGCACAAATAGTTGCCTAAAGAAAAAAAGGATAAAAAAAGATTTAATAAAAATTAACATGAAGATTAGCCATGGCCTATTTCAAGTTTGTTGCTAGAACACTAATCATATATCAAACATTACAGCTGGTTCAACATGCCCAAGTTCCAACATGCCCCAGTTCTAACAGCAGCATCAGGGGCATTTACCAAAAACCGTAATAGCCATAGTTAATGTCAGTAAAAAAAAGATAATAAAAATTAAAGTAAATGGAATAAAGAAACACTTCAAACTAAAATTTATTTATTTAAAAAAACTCTGTTAAAACTAAGTTTTATGGTAACTTTCATTTTAAAGGAAATAATATATATATTTTTTTTGGAGCTAAAGATAGAAACTTTATTAAATTATGTTTTAATTATATATATTAAACTTTATTATTTATGAATTGACAACTTACTAGCAACAAATCATTGAACAAAAATGCTAGTCGATTGTGAGGCTTATCTTTTCGGTTAGGATCATAGACTTGTTCGACTTGAAAAAGTTTTATAAACTGTCGATGACATGCAGCAATATTCTATAAAATATCAAACTAGCTAAAATTGAAGTTTTTTTTTCTTCAGTTATTCAAATTAAAAAAAAAAAATTTAACAGAATATTATATTATTATAAATATAAAAATAATAATTTACTACAATTATTATGCTAACTATCCAAAATTATTTTATTCTATAGATTAATTACACTTGAATACATATTATAAATGATTAAAAATAAAATCTTTATTGTGTAAAGTTTTAAAATTAAAAACCGCTGCATAGTACCAAACATACATGCTAACAAACAATACATAAAAACACAACAAAAGTTCAAGAAGAGATTTATCTACAGAAAATCTATAAAAAAAAAATGGTAACTACAACAACAACTTATTATGATTGTAAATTAAAATTACTAAACATTAGTTATTTTATTAAAGTTTTTAAATATAACTGACATATAATATAAAAATAAAAAAGAATCAGGATTGATTGCATGTGTATACAAAAAATGTTTAAATGTTTTTTAACTTACTGGAACTTTGCCAATAAAACTGTTCTCAATTTGTCGCAACTGTGTTGTATGATCAGCGCCAGTTGCAAACTCATTCTACAATAAATATTACACACATACAGAATAAAATAATAAATAAATATATATATATATATATATATATATATATATATATATATATATATATATATATATATATATATATATATATATATATATATATATATATATACATACACGCACAAATAATTTTAAATGTTTTCTACAAAATAAAGGGTTCAATGTTCTGAAAAGAATAGAGCAATTATAAATAAATTAGTAAAAAATCACTAATAATTTTTTTTTTACACTGTTTTCTTGTGGTTTTTTGATGAGCCTCAATAGATGAATAACAATGTAAAATGAAAAAAGTATGATAATTGGTGATTTTGGGTTTGGGTTGAGGTACCAATTGTATTTTTAATACTTTTCTTTTTCAAAAAACTGAAACATGTATGAGCAAGAAAATATGAAGACAGATGAGAGTTCTATGTTTGAGAAATATAAATAGATAAAACATTTTTGAGCATGAAGAAACAGTTACAGTAAAATTAAGTAACTTTATTGATGAACAGCTACAGTAAAATGATGTAATTGAATGATGAGTTGCACAAAAAAGTTGAGCTTTGCTGCTTGCTTGAGCAGCAAACATGTAGTATTAATAATAACAAAAAAGGTATGCATGGTAGTATTAATAATAACAAAAAAAGAAAATAATAATGAAACAGAAGTTGGAGCTTAACAGCTAGAGCAGGTCCAACAACATTAACAATGCATATTTTTTGTTTTACTTTGTCTTATGGAAAGAAAACCTAATTAGAAGAATCAGCCTGAATATGACAACAGTATTTATATTTAATGTTACAACTAAAAATCTGGATCTCTTGAACAGAGTTATCAATTTTTTAAATATAAAAAGCAAATTAACAAAAAATTTGTATTTTACAAAACAAAACAAAAAATTATTTGTTTATCAGTCAACTTTGCGATCAACTCTTGTAAAGGTACTCGCCTTAAGCCTATATACGTAATTTTGATTGATATTTTTCATACAATACTCAATTTGATTTCTTAGCTTGCCAATTCTCTGCATACACCAATAAGGCACATTAGCAGGGTTTGTGTCTTTCTGCACATATTCAATATTTTCATCTTTTAGAAAATTTTGTACTTTGTTTCATTAGTGTGCAGAGCTAGAAGATCAGGCCAGAACCCAATTTTGTTTTTATGAACCTTGTTGATGAACTTCTTTAATTTAACCAGGCATTTGGAAATGTGTATATCCTTGTCGACTGCTTGACCCGAAGAAGCAATGTACCCAAAGACTTGCTTAGAGACCTCTTTCTCTGACAAGGCTATCCAAACTAATAATTTTGACTCATATTTGCTTTTTCTTTTGAGCTTGACCTCATTAGAAGTTGCATAAGGATCAGAAGTATAATGTCCTATGTTGCCAGAAAGCTGCGTGTTACACAAAGGAAAATACTATTTGTCATCAATTATTACAAATTTTTTCCAGAAAAGTACAACCAATTTTTGGAACTTAGGATGTACAGCAGCTTTGCTGTACATCCAAAGCAAACAGAAAATTAGTGCCTAATTTTCTGTTTGCTTTGCCTACAGCTTAATTAATATGTTATTTCTATTGTTAATTAATAAGATCTTTTTCTATTGTTGTTTCTGTAAAAATAGAGTTTTTCAATTTATATTCATATCTAGGTTTCTTTTTAGCAATATACATGACTTTACATTTTGATTCATTAAATTCAATTAACCAATCTTCAGACCATTTTACTAACATGTTAATGCCCTCTTGTAATAATTTATTTCCATCATTACAATGATTGATTGAAATAACTTTGATATCGTCTGCATATAATTTAGTGACTATAATAATAAATCTACATAAGTCTTTAATGAAGATAAAAAATAAAAGAGGTCCAAGTACTGAAACTTGCGGTACTCCATCTTCCAACTTGAAATATATTTTTCCTATCACCACCCTCTGAGCTCGATTTGACAAAAATGATTTACAACGATTCTTGTTCTTTTTATCGCTTTTTATACAATATCCAATGCTCATCTTTTTGTTGAAATTTTGGATATATACTGCTGGGAAACATTGAATCTTTTGGTTAGGCTATGCTGTGAAACACTGTCCTTCTTATCAATTGATTTTTCTAGGCATTTCATCTGTTTCTTAGACATATTTTTTTGGAGTTTGACTACTTCCAATTTTTTGTTCTGGTCCTATATTGATCTCCTTTTGTTGCAGTATATCGTACATGGTTGATTTTGGAACATTTTCCATGCAAAAATGATTGACAACAAACATTTTGTTCTCTTTTGGATGCAAATCCATAAAAGCATACACTCATTTACAGAGTACTTCCTGATTATTTTACTTTTTAGACATGCTTAATTAGGTTCTAATAAAAAGACTATGGTATATTGTAGAGGAATAAATTTGAAAAATGATAGGTAGGATTATAAAATTAAAATAATATTGTTAAAGATATAAATTGAAGCTACAAAGTTTGTCCAGATTTTTAGTTGTAACAAGTTAGACTTTATAGAGCTTTTGATCAGATTTATATAAAATCAAGAATTAGAAAAAATAAAAAATTAAGAAAGAATCAAGAATCAAGATTAAGAAAATGAAAAGCAAAACAAAGATAAATGATACATTTGCAATGGAAATCATAATATATCATAACATATGATTTTCAAGAGAGGCCAGTAGAGAATGATAATCTGATATGATGTAAAGTAGAGGACTCAATATAAGTGTTGTTATTTTATCTATATAGAAATGTCAACAATACTGTGATAGTTGTTTGCTATAAATAACAAGAGTAAATAACAGAGTTTTATTGATAACTGAGTTAGAGTGAAATTTATTTAATTTTAAAAACTTTCCCAGATACACCATATAAAATAAGGTTATGGAGAAGATATAAAGGGGTAAGTAATAATAGGGGCTATTCTAGACCCTTTTTTGATAATGTCTAATAAAAAATAGCTAAAAACATACAAAACAATTTTTTTTTTTTAAATGTTTTGTATGTTTTTACGACAAATATTTTTTTTTTCGCGAAAAAAAAAATGCTTATTTTTCGCTACAGTTTGCCAAAACGAGTACCCCAAGGATCAGGAAAAAAATTTGGGGGGTATCCCTGCCCAAATTTTTTTCCTGATCCTTGTAACTATGGTAACTAGTGCTTCTCACTATTATTAGCAAAATGTTTTTTTTTTAGTTAACAAACTTTTAATATCTTGTCATGAGCCAAACAACTTAGTCTCTGGCAATCAATACAGCAACGACTATTGCTCTCAGCTATCAAAGACTTTTAAAAAAATCTGGCATACTGGTCTTCTCCATAATCTCGTTTTATATGGTGTATCTGGGAAAGTTATTAAAATTAAATAAATCAAACAAATTTCACTCCAAATCAGTTATCAATAAAACTCTTTACTTTATTTACTCTCGGTTTTGTGTGTTTACTAATTAGATTCAATTTAGCACTTGTTAAAGAGTTTTGAAAGTAATGAAGTAAGTTCTGAAAAACACATTTTTAATATTGCAATAGAAATGTTGTCTGGATTACAGACAACATTTCAACAGAAACAAAAAATATTGCTAAAAAACAAACTTCAAGACTTGCTTTTTTAAATAATAAAATGCAACATTTGGCTATATTAATATGACAATATTTTATAATATGGATAAGTTCTTGCTTAATTTTTTTAATCAAATCTAACTCAATGATATCTTTCTGTTTTGCTTTACATAACATTTTTTGTTTATTTGACTCTTTTAAAAGGGTAAAGTCACTTTTCTTTTCTGTATTAATAGCAACCATGTCAGACTTATTAGATAAAAACACAATTTGACTTTGAAAAAGTCTGCATTTTATTCTGACAGCTTTCTATTCATCGCAAACAATCTTTCGCTTTAATGCCAAATTAAAGTCAGTTTTTTTTTTTTTTAATTTTTACTTTTGTAAGTCTTCGCTTGCATTTCTAGCATGTTGCTGCATCTCTCTGCCAATTTGATGCTTCCAAGACTTTCTTTGGGAGACAAAAGGTGGTCTTCAATAGTATGTAAAGCAACTAATGATTTCTCCTTCAGGTTTTTAACTTCAAGTTGCTTATTTATACTAAAACCACATTTGATTGATTTCTGCCCATGTGATCTCACAAAGACTTAAAACCTTTTTAAGCCCATGTGATCTCACAAAGACTTAAAACCTTTTTAAGCCCAAAATTATGAAAATACTTATTTTCATAAATAAATTGAAAATTATGAAAATATTATTTTCATAATTTTCAGGTTATTGCACTGACTGCAACTAAGTCATTATCTATTAAAATCATTATCTATTACCTCATTTGCAAATAAATAATGAGTTGATGAGAATGTTTTTTAAACATTGAAGTGATTGGAGCCCGGGAAAAAACAAACTTTAAACCTTTTTAAGCCCAAAATTATGAAAATACTTTTATTTTCATAATTTTCAGGTTATTGCATTGACTGCAACTAAGTCATTATCTATTAAAATCATTATCTATTACCTCATTTGCAAATAAATAATGAGTTGATGAGAATGTTTTTTAAACATTGAAGTGATTGGAGCCCGGGAAAAAACAAACTTTAAACTTGTGAACTTCAACAACCCCCCCCCTCCTCCCTATACACACAGCTTCAAATATGAGGGCAATAAGATATTGAGTTTTATACTATTCTAAACAAAATTTATTTTTTCATTGAAAGATTTTAAATTTCATCTAATGACAGTTCAGCGTTTAAAAGTTATGACCATGTAATGTTTACAACCTTTACATTTTGGAAGATTTTTTACATCTACCAAGTAAAGACTATTGTTATTGGAGTTAACTTTGATTTTGAATTAATGTTTCATATCAAATAAAAAAAAAATAATGCAAATAAAAAATGGTTGTTAATGAAAGAATTAAAACAAAAACAAAAAGGTAAAAATTTTATTGATATTCTCAGCTATATCCAGGTCAAAATTCTGAAATGCATTTTTATTAATATCAACAACTTCAAATAGTTTTTGAGATTTTTTTTTTTGCCAACTCTGCAGACTTTAGTGACAGACAATTACAACTTACTAACTTTTGCTAAAGAATATACAAAAACTTTAGGATAATGAATTAACTTAGTTTGCTATTATTAGCCATTTGGATTGGAGTTAGTGATATAGCAGAGCGTACAATGGAAAACTTTAATGGGAACTTCTCAAAAAGAGAGTGTCAACAAAATAGCCAATCCTACAAGCTAGCAGGACATTAGACATGATACTAATCTTGACCTGAAGTAATACAAGTAATAGGTACTTTTAATATTAAATTATTAAACAGTTTTTAACATTTTTATTTTTAACATACTTTTAAAATTAAAAACTGTTAATTCAATTTAAAAACCATACTTCTGCCATTTCTAACCGTCAACCAAGAGCCCTAAGGCAAAGGGTATTTTAAATGAGAGTTATCTCCTAGAGTTTGCCTAGAATAGCCAATCCTACAAGCTTGCAGGACACGAGACATGATTTTAATTTTGACTTGAATATTATAAGTAATAGACACTTTTTAAAGTTTTCATACATATTCATATATATATAAATATTTCATATATATTGAATATTGTAATGAACAAACCTTTTGAATTCTAAGGTACATTTCTTTTAACATTTCATGATTCAAATCATTTCCTTTATCTGTTCCACGTAAATTTTTCAAAAAATCATCTATGGTCATTCTTTGCTTGACATTCTGATTGTGGAGATCAGTATTAAGCATAGCAAGAGCAAATGAAAGCAGCAAAATTGTATCAGCATTATCAGAAATATACCCAGGGTTACATTCCACATAGCGTTCTGAAAAAACCTTAAATAAAAAAATACTTCATAATACACAAATATTTAGAGTTATCTAATTATTATGAATTATTGACACAATCTTTAAAATACTTACAGGTAAAAAATTTTAAGATAGTTTGTACCTGTAAAAATTTTTCAACAGTTTGAGCTTCACCCTAAAAATAAAAATACAGAAATTAAGAAGATGCAATAAAGCAATTGTATTAAAAAGAGAAAATAATTTTTTTATCAATTGTTCACTATGATAACATTCATTTTTGTTCTTTGATAAACTTTATTTTGATAAAATAGTATTTTTTGATAAACTTTGATAGACAAGTATTTTGATAAACTTTATAAATTTTTTAAAGTAGGTATGCGAAAACTCATGTTTTATGGAACTGAATTTTGTGCTCAAATTCTGTTAAATTTTTTTAGGTAGCGTCAGACGTATGTTTTTTGTGGTGTTTCTTTTTAGAAACATAACTAAACTTAAATTAATTTTGAAAAAAAGAATAGTTTAACTTTATTTTTACATAACATTTATGTATGGTTGGTAAGTTTTGTATTGACTTTATTTATATTAAAAACTTAATTGATGTTCTCATATTAAACTATTCATGACAGAATGTTCAGATAGTTTGCAAACCTACTCAGACAGTTTTTTACACATATTTTTTATTGACCTACTAAATTTCTTAAAAATATATTGAGCAGATTACTTATAAAAGTGAGCAGTTTTGGTACCTTATTTCTGTTTTTCAGATTTCTATAGTGGATGGTACGAGGGGGTACAGAACAAACTTGAATTTCATTAGGTTAATTTAGTATTTATTTATGTTATATGTACAATAAATGAATAAATCTAATAAAATTATGAAATATATATATATATATATAAATATATATATATATATATATATATATATATATATATATATATACATATAAATAAATAAATATATATATATCAACCCTCGGAATTAAGGTCAACATTCAGCAGTGCCGACCTAACTGCCGACAAAGTGTTTGCGGTCGGCAAATATTTTCCGGCAAATTATTGCAGACTACAATTTTCCTAATTCCGAGGGTTTATATATATATATATATATATATATATATATATATATATATATATATATATATATATATATATATATATATATATATATATATATATATATATATATATATATATATACATATATATATATATATATATATATATCAACCCTCGGAATTAGGAAAATATAACCAGTGTAACATTGATATATTAATTCAATAATACTCTGTTAAATTATAGGAATAATACTAAGTTATTAAAAATTTTAACTTAATTATATTTAGAAGACAAAAAAATGCCTAAAAGCAAAAATGCATGAAAAGTTCAGGTTTCTATTTTATATATATATTTTTTTACGCAAACTTAACCTGGCTAAAAATTCAAAACCTAATAAACGTTGTAAATTTGTATGGTTCAGTACAATCAGTTAATTATCTTGTTTAAGGTTTCCAAGGTAGCTAAATATCCTGCTGAAGTATTGGCGTTTTGTATTAGTCATAATAATAAAAGGCATTGAAAAATCCAATTAAACAAGATTTTGTTGTCATGAATATGAGATAGGTTCAAGATACTTCATGTAATTATGAGGTATGGAGACGTTAATGTAAATTTTGTTGTTTGTAACAATATATAATATAACTTAACCTTATATTATATTAAGATTATTATGAAAGGATTACTTATAAGTGAATATATAAGTTATATATTCACTTATAAGTATTCCTTTCATAATAATGTTAAACCTCTTTAAATCAAACTGACAACAAGCAATAGAGAAAAGGCTTTTAAATATTCTTTAAATAACTTTTACACTATTTTCCCACATTATTTTTAATCTTTTTAATGTAATCTTTGATTGAACAATCTACCTCAAGCAAGTTTGAAAATTATTACTTTTTTAAAACAGCATACTACTTTCTTTTTTTTTTCTTTTATTACAGCTTTTTATAATTATTTGATATATATAACACAACGTTAAAGAATTTTCTTATATTCATTTTTATCTTTTCTATGTAATATTTATTAATTAGAACATTTTAAAATGAGTATAGATACTGAGTATAGATAGAAGATTAAAATGAGTATAGATTACATAATGCTAGGCTGTTTTTTTGTTTGCTTATCATATCTTTTTTTTTTGTTATATTCATTTTGTTATAAACAAACTATTTTCTATCGCCCTGCTTATTTATTCTATATAACAAATTTTCTTTTTTTTCTTTTTTTGTTTTGTTTCAATTCTTTTTATTTTACTTTAATGCAAAATACTATATTTAAAAAATTCTAGTACATAACAAAACTCTCCTTGGACTTCTTCAACTCTTCTTTCCAAGTCGTTAAACTTCTCTCCATTTTCTTTCCTCCTTTTTATCTGTTATATTATTTTGTTATTGACATTACTATTATTTTTATATTTTTCATTTTGCATTATTATTAATGATCATTAAGGACCGGCAAAGTCAACTTTTTAAGACTTGAATTTAACTGAAAGACGAATTTGGATTTTAAAAACATATTTAATTTAAAGAGAAATTTTTTAAGAACTTTTAATAAGTTTTATAAAATTTTTTATTTTTTTTTATTTTTTTTTGTTTTAAGTGATGTACTCCAAGAAAACCTAACAGTTTTACCATGGAGTACATCAGAAAAGTATTAAACTAGGAAGTTCAAATCTCCTTCCTTACTGATGGTTCAAAATATGCTCGGAGCTTGCTTCGAATCCTAAGTCTCTTGCTTCTAAAGCAAGCGCTCTAACCACTGCATCGCGATTGCTGTTTAATCATTATATATAAACTATATTATTTTAGCTTTTAATTAACCATAATTTAAAACATGAAGAAGAACAAGTGATACCAAATAAATTTTAATTTATTAAAAAAAGATTTGCTTACAAAAAACAATTTGCGTCAAAATAAAAAGTCTAAAAATTCAGTAATAATGAGAATTTAAGTTATGGAATCTTTACAACTCTAAATGTTTTTGAACGAACATAAACAAAAAAACATTTACAACGTTTATTGAAAAATTTTGATTGTCAATTTTATAAAGGAAAAAGGATCGTTAAGAATATTAGGTTTATTATTCACCTGTTTTTTTATCTTTAGGATTTTCTGAAAGCGATAAATAAGATTTAATAAGTGATGATTAGACTTTGTGCCTAAAAAAGACTTTTCAAATATTTTTTTTTTTACTGAATTCATGTTCCCAAGGCTAAGTGGGCTACTTTAGTCTTCTTATATTGGTTACAACCCTCTCTAAACCCTTAAACTTCAAAACACTTTTTGGAGTTAAAGAGTTAAAAAAGGGTTGTAACCAATAGAAACAGCTTGATATACATAAAACATATAACATTTCATAATTCTTCTTCTTTATAAATTGAAAAAAACTTGATAGCTTTCGAATTTAACTGAAAGATAAATGAAATTTTATAATTGTTTCCAAATTTAACTGAAAGCTGAACTTCTATTTCAACTTCGGCACTGAAGTCGAATCCTAAGTCAACTTCACCTTTCAGTAAACTTCTTAATCCAAATTTTAACGAATATTGACCAGTCCTTAATGATTATCTCTATTTGCTACAAATGTTTTATCTTGAATAGAGTAAAAATATATATTTACTATTTTATATTATTGTATTTCATATTATTATTATTATTTTTATTATTGTTATTGTTATTATTACTGTTATATTATTATTATTTGTATTATTATTAATATTATTTTTATAACTGTTTGTTATAATGTCCCACATGATTGTAAAAATATATCTCTTTAGTCATGTCTACTATTGCTACCTTTGGTAAGTTTATTAATTAGAACTTTGTTGAGAAGACAAGTTTTGACCACACAGTTGGTATCCAGGTAGTACAAAATGTTTTGCAAAAAACTACAATTTCCAAATCAAATCCGGCTGCACTTTTTTGCAGAAAAATAAACTTTTTCGAAAATGATCTAAATAGATTTTTTTGAAATAACTTATTAAAATGGCTTCTGCTGGCTCCATTGATGAATAACTTATTAAGATGGCTTCTGCTTGCTCCATTGATGAATAACTTATTAAGATACTTCTGCTTGCTCCATTTAAGAATAACTTATTAAGATGACTTCTGCTTGCTCCATTGATGAATAACTTAAAAATAAAAACTTAAAAAAATATAATATTTTGAATCTCAAGTTAAATAAATACCAGACGTATTTACTGTTCTTAAAGGATTCATTTTTCCTGACTCATGAAGATTCAAAATTTTTATTCTTTATTATTCTTTCAGATGCATTATTTGTATGTTTTTAGAGACAATTAAAGGTATTTGACTTATTTATATATATATATATATATATATATATATATATATATATATATATATATATATATATATATATATATATATATATATATATATATATATATATATATAAATAAGTCAAATACCTTTAATTGTCTAAAATAGAAAATATTTTGACAGGCAGCTCTTGTTTACCTTCATGTCGTATCTTTTGTTATAAATGGTTATTATACTGTTTCATTTATGGAATTGATTATCTTAGTTACTAAAAACCAAGACAACTATTTAACTAAAGATATCTAAAATGTCTTAATACAGAACAAAATAAAACTGATTGATAGTAATAATTTGTTGTTTTTTTTTTTAGATTTTTAAACAGCAAAATTTTTTATTCATTTAACAACTATCTTACATTCTTCTTAAAAAAGGTTTCATTATGAAGGTTAATTTCTATTAAGTTTATTTATAAATAAAGCCACCTGTTTTACTTTAAATTCAATTTTAATTATATATAAGATTACCATTTAGAACTATACAATAACCATTTTGATACTAAAATAATAATTTATTCAAAATCTTTTGCATTTTGTATTTAAAACATTTTTTTTCTAATAGTATACAACACTGATATTTTTGGTAATGAAATGAAATATATTTAATGAAATATGAAAAAATGAAACATACTAATTTACTTTGTTTATTAAAGATAAAATTGTTTTTAAGAATTCTTTTTGCATCTTTTTATTTTAGGATGTGAGCAACCATCACCGCCCTATTCAACAAACTTCTCATCTTAACCAAAATTTACGAATTGCAGCAGAAAGACTTTTTTTCAAAAGTAAGATTGGTTGTGGTCTTCAACTTTAGCCACTCAGTTATACCTGGTGCCAAAAGCCAAATTCAAGTTTTAAATTGGCAACTTATTTTGAAACAACTATAATTGTTATTTTAACGATTTATTTATTTTTTTAGGTGGGAAGAGGGGAGCGTGCACACACCCCTTCCACAAGTCAATATGCACACCACCAATAAATGAAATTCTTGTAAAACTGTGGTTTTTTTTTTGATATTTTTTATATTTTAAACTAATTTCACTTGTTTTATTAAATATAGAAATATTTATGAAAATTAACCACCAACTTTAATATACACCAATCATTGTTGCTGGTCTGGAATAAAATTATAGCAACCTTTAGTATAAAAAAAATTTATTTGCTGAGAAAAGCACTCTAATCAAAAAAATATGTATATTTTTTATGGTAAAGGTGGTGGTTTGGCACCCCCTACTGCTACTAAAAATCTTTTGAATTTTTGTAGAATTGTTCAATTTTAATAATTTTTTCACTTTTAAAATACTGTATTGAAGCCCTTTATAATGAAACATAACAATTTAGCCTTTGATCAATTTAAAATTTTTAATCCACATACCTATTTAAAGCCACTAGTATTTTGATATTTAGCCATTATTATTTTGATAAACTTTATAAAGCCACTAGTATTTTGACTTTTAAAAGAGATAACTGTGTTAAATTTTAGTAATAAAAAAATGTAATAATTACTGATAACTAATCGCATAATGTAAAAAATAAATCTAAATGATAGTTAATCAAAATAATAAATAAAAAAAAAAAGAAATAAAAAGAAAGTAAAACTTACAGTTAGTTTGAAATAAGACTGAAATTGACGAAGTGCTTCATCAACTGCTTTGCCCACATAATCAAACGATTTTGCAAATTCACTGATATAAATAAAGAATGTAAAATTAAACCTAAACCAACAAAGAACACAAATAAATATAACAAACATTGACAATATTGTTTCATTTGAAATTAAAATAGAATTTATCAATAGATCAATGTTTAAAATCATTGTGCATAATTTTTGTGTGCAAAATTTGGTACAAGTTAAAATATATACTACAAACTGCTAACCAGTAAAATGCAATTTTCTTTTGCAAACCATGATTTGCCAGTTGCGATGTAATAGTTTATTAGCACTTTTTTGTAACCCTCAGCCAATGTATATAACCCTCAGTCGATGTATGTAACCTTCAGTCGATGTATGTAACCCTCAGTCGATGTATGTAACCTTCAGTCGATGTATGTAATCCTCAGTCAATGTATGTAGCCCTCAGTCAATCTATATAACCCTCAGTCAATGTATGTAACCCTCAGTCAATGTATCTAACCCTCAGTCAATGTATGTAACCCTCAGTTAATGTATGTAACCTTCAGTCAATTTATGTAACCCTCAGTCAATGTATGTAAATTTAATTCTGCTAATCCCTATAGCAGGCCTTGCGATGAATAAAAACTGCGCGACGCATAAGCACAACGTGATTTTTGTCGTCATTAAATTCTTTTTATTTGCTTTTCATATTTATCAACATTAACTGCACCAATTTACTTAATTACCGCAAAACTACTTTAAATCATTAATGTAGTAATGTTATTATTTAAAAATGTTTTGGAATGTTTCGTTTTTTAAAATGTAAAAACATTTGTTTATTTTCTCGACGCTTGACACGTTTTGTCTATACTAAACGAATAAAAAACATTATAACTAAACATTTAAAAAAGATTATAAAATATGCTAATACTTGATTTTTTTTTCTCAAATATGTAATTTAAAGTTTTTCAAATAAATTTTTTTCTTTTTAAAAAGTCAGCGAGTAATAAACTGGAAATTTTAATATTGTACGATTAAAAACTGTGCAATAGCTAATATTTTTATCAGCGATTTTATATAACATTTTTTTATTTATTTTTATTTATTTTCATAAAGCGGTTGATAAGCACAATCACTCGTATTACTAAAAAACTTTAACGAACGTTTTGAATAGATTTTTAATGTTTACAAGGAATTTTATTTCTAGTAAAATAAAACAAAATGTTAGAATAAAAATCTTATAGGTATAAAAGACATATTTCAGCAAAAAAATTTGCAAATTATTATTAAAATATACATTAAAAAGTGGCTAAAATAAAAAAAAGAAAACATTACGTGGTTAAATATGAGAACTAATTTTATTTTATAAATAAACTTTTATACTAAATTTTTTATTTTATATATAGTTCTCGAAGATTGTCGGTCAAAATATCATCTTCGCTATCAATGTCTTCATCGCTTCTTGTTTTGATTAGCGAATCATAGTCTTCTAAGCTTAAGTGAGTTTTTTCATCATCGACAATAATGCATTTTCTACGCTTTTTCATGTACTTTGCGAGAGAACACTCAATTAAATCATTGTAATCTTCTTTAGTCCAAAAACTATGGTTTCCATGAATAACAACACAATCAGCAAGCGCTTCGTGACTTAAGGAGAGTCGTTTATCAGTTAAAATATTTGTAACAGTGCTAAATGTCCTTTTTACTTGCGAGTTTGAGCCAGATATGCACATTACTAGCGATACCAGGCAACATACATTTGGAAACTCAATAATAAATTTTTGAAAATAATTTCCCACAAACTACGAACTGGATGACATTCAAACTCAGTTCGAACTAGCAGCTTTACTTTTTTCCACTCTCTAAGAGCAACATCTCTTTGATAACCAGCGTTTTTTAATGGTGTCTCAAAATGATCGCTTATATAGTTTATTTCTTGCAGTCCGGAGTGTGAATCTTCCTTTATCCAATGAATTGGGTCAATAAAATTCATACTTCTGTAAAGTATAAGCTCTCTAGAGTAGTCTTTAAATCTACTTGATAGTAGCAATGAAAGTTTTGAAAGAATTGTTCTTTTAATTTGACGAATTTGCTCAATTGATTCATTTTGAACAAAACTATTTTTTTCCAGCATTACGTTAACATATGTACGATTGTCTGCATGTTTTCGTTTATCCCCAGGTTTAGCAAATGAACCTTCGACTTCACTATTGTTGGTGACCATGTAGCGGCTTATATAACTGTCCAAAAACTTGTTGTCTTTTCCAATTGATAAAATTTTGTCTTCAATCTCTAATATAGTACGATTGATTGTTGCGGGATTTTCATGAGGTAATAGCTCATTAGTTTCAAAAATTTTAGATGCAGGAATAATTAGTTCCAAACTATCAAGATATAAGCCTACTTTATAAAGGAACGAGTGACACTTAAATGACCTTAAAGGGATCCCAAACTCCCAACACATGTTGTGTTCATATTAAAGATAATGTTAAAAAAAAAGGTTTGAACCAAATTTTTTTGATTAAAAATAAATAATGAATGCATACCATGAAAAACAAATGTTGTTGTTTTTGCCGAAGCTCGTCTTCTCCATTTTTTTCAACTACTCGGAGTCTTCAAATTATGCGTCGCAATCTACAGACTTTGGCAATTCCTTTGAAGCGCGTTTAATTCATAAAAGTTTTAGTATTTGACGTCACGGTAGACTTTTAACAAAAAAAATTCTGGAAATATTTTTATTTATTTTTAGTCGAAGTTTTTTTGGTTATTTGTTTAGTTTTTTTTTTCTACTTTTAATATTTAAAAAGATATTAAAAACCTTAAATATTTTATGCTGGTTCGTTGCTATAAATTGTTATTGCGCCATATATTTAATGTTTATAAATTATGAATATTTATTATCTCAATCAAGACTCTGATAAAAAAATGTTTTTCATTAATTACCCGTATAAAATTATTATCTCAATTAAAAGACTCTGATAAATAAATGTTTTACGTATAAAATTAGTAACAACATTTTTATTTGGTAAGACGATATTTTGTCTCAATTTGCTTGGGGAAGTCAAACGAAAAAAATTAGTTTGAATAATCACGTCGAAATATATTTAAAACAAATTATTTAAATGACGGGGGTACTAAAGTCTTTTTATAACAAAAGTAGGTAAAAAATAAATACTAAATAAAAAGTTCAACATTAAACATCTTTTTTTTTGTTATATTGCAACTGTAATTATTAAAATATTAACTTTAACAATATTTACTTATTATTTAGAACGACTTAAATAAAAAGCCCCTAAAATTATGCGATATTGTGTTAATTTATTCTAAGATCAGAAAAGGCTCTAGGAACGTATTTGTTCCTATAGTATGTAAAATATGTTAGAGTAAAAACAAAATTTTATTGTGTGACATTCAGAACTACCCGAATTTTGCACGAGAAAGTCAGACGTCACATCGTCTATTGTTTTGTAAAATTTTCATTAGGTGTTTTCACAAATTACGACACATAAATTGGGAAATACCAAATATAATGTTTTTTAACACGCGTTGCGATATTTTAACAATTTAAATTACTATCCGTCTTGAGTTGTTGCCATTAATTAATGTGGTCATTATTGCGTTAATTAATAATAATTTGTCTTTATTTTTGTTAAATGTTAATTGTATAAAACCGGCAAAAATATACGTACTTCATGTTTTCAATTTGATGGTTATAAAGTATTGAACAGTAAACTCATAATCAAAATTTATAATGCCGACTTGTGTTGCTATTAATTGTACTTTTAATGCAAAACCATCTCACATATCCTTTCACGAATTTTCATATCTGGTACTACTGTCAACTGTATTGTTTAGTGTATTCTTGTATTTTTTTTCATAACCTTAACAGGTTCTAATTGGTATGGAGTTGCCGACATTTCAAAAGTTTTGTTATCAAAAATCAAATGCAAAATAAAATGATTTTTTTTATCCATATCCAATTTAGCAAGTTCAGCAATTTAAATTTAATCAGCGTAATCAAAAAATTTTTATAATAAAAAAATTTAACAGTTTATCAAATATCTCTAATTAAATGAAAGCAATTGCTTGTAATTACTTTTTTTCGACGGAAAAACAAAAAACTTCATAGCGTAAAAATGACCAGAGAAGTTAGAAAATAGTTTTGATTGTTTAATGTAAAATTTAGAATATATAATACTGCGCTCTCTTGCACAAAAACAAGAGACCGTATATATAATGTTCTATATAATGTAAAATACTCGTAAGAAAATCATAAGATTGGTAAGTAAATATTTGTCTTAATTTAAAAACAAAAGAAATATAAGTAAGATATATAAATCGAAAAATTATTAAGATATCTGTAAAAAACAAGTTGCTCCTATAAAATAAAAATAATTTATCATTTTTTCTTTTTACAAATTTTTTTTTGCGATGTTTAGAAAAATAATTCAAATAAATTTGTTTTGCTGTATGTTAAAAAAATACTACAGTAGAAAAACGCAGCTTAGTTTAATTACACTTTTCTTTTGTTAAAAGTCTACCGTGACGCCAAATACTAAAACTTTTATGAATTAAACGCGCTTCAAAGGAATTGCCAAAGTCTGTAGATTGCGACGTATAATTTGAAGACTCCGAGTAGTTGAAAAAAATGGAGAAGACGAGCTTCAGCAAAAACAACAACATTTGTTTTTCACAGTATGCATACCTTATTTATTTTTATAATCAAAAAAATTTGGTTCAAACCTTTTTTTTTAACATTATCTTTAATATGAACACAACATGTGTTGGGAGTTTGGGATCCCTTTAACAAGCCTTTTACTTTAGATACAGTGTTTTTATTTGTCTGTTCGCTTGCATAATTTTGGTAAACCGTAATAAAAGCTGGCCATGTTTCTAACATATTAATTCATATTGCTTCAACTTCCGCTTTTAATTTACCTGAATTTCTTAATAGGTAATAATTAGCTAGATAAAATTCGTCAATCTGTGCAAAATCAGGTATTTGATTAAATGCATCTTTTATTGCCAATTCAATTCTATGATTAATACAATGAATTTTAATTAACCAGGGATGATTTTGTTGCATCTGTGACAGTACACCAATATGTGCACCAAAGTTTATGCTTGTACCATCTCGCACATATAACTTTGTTGGTATAATGTTCTTTACTTAATCTAAATAATGATTTGTCTGATTCAAATACAGTTTATACCAGTAGTTAATGAATTTGAATCACTACCACCGAATAGAGACATATGTAAATAGGTATCTGTTCGAACATATATAAATAATAGAGACATATATAAATATGTCTGTTCGAACCAAAACTAGTACTTTTTCCTTTCCCGTTTTTCTAGCCTGACTACCATTGCTGAGAATAGAAAAAAAGTTGCACAACTTGAGAATTTCAGCACATTTTTCACGGACGACGTCTGCACAACATTTAATTATTTCTCTGCCTGTGGAACCATTTTCTTTGCGTCTTATCAAGCTTGCGCCACTTATTTTTGCACACCTCACCTTAAAGATGTTCATTAAACAGTAAAAAATTATAAAAAAAAGTCATTACACGGAGTCAAAGACAAAAAATTAAGTTTTATAATTTTATTTCACACATTTAAAAGCAAGTTTAAACCTTACAAGAACACAAAAATGAATACGAGGTATTGTTGGACAGCACGCCATTTCATAAGCAATTTTTACCAGGTAACGATAGGAATTTTGTATGCGTGTTTCTTTTAACGTCAATTGGTTGTAAAGTATACTTTTTGACAATTTTTTTGAATCAACCTGAGGTCCTTTATATAAATAATATAAATTTAGAGATAGATGTTAATGAAGTTAATTGTATATGTATTTTATAATAAAAAGTGATTTTATCCATTTTAATTTAAAAAATAAAATTACTTATTTCTTGTTTTTAAGATTTTATGCTTTAATGTGCATTGAATATAAACTGCATTTGTATTTAAATTGGAACAAATTTTCTAAATAAAACATTTTTAACCTTTATACTTTTTGCTCCCTTGTTTTTCTCACATCCTTTATTTTCTAATTGCGTTGCATACTGGTGAGCCGTTCCTGATATATGTCTTAAAACACCATTCTTTTTAATACAACTTGTGCCATTGATATACCGTAAAGTAGAAGCTTTTACTGCACCAATGGTTTTTGATAAAATAGTATTTCTATGATTAGCACTCAATTTACATATGATTTTAACAACATAAGTCTTCTCATTTTCTTTGATAGTTTCGATGTGAAAAAGATCCGAAACATCCCAACTTTTAAAAGTTTTCAAGCTGACTCTTTTGTTGTTCAAAATGCTATCCATATTTTAACTTTAAATAATTTGTTAAGAATAGGAAGAGTTTTTTATACCTTGTATATTTTTTAAAGTTTGTCTCCATTTATATAGAAAAATAAATAGTCATTAGTAAAGTGGTTATTGATAATTTAAGGTTAATTTTTGTTTTCTAATTATTTTTGGTTGCATTAACCAAATATTATTACAAAACAAAAAGGTAATAAAAATTATTTCATGGGTTCCACAGCGCGCGCCTACCTAAGAAAACCTTCATTGTGATATTACAGAAATGTTATAAGTGGAAGTCATGCTCGACACTTTTTTCAAAATAACAGCTAACTTGTTTTATAAAAAAAAAATAGTCATGTTTTTCAATTTATTTGCTTAATGCGCTGTAGTGGATTTTTTACTAAACATTTTGATTCAAAAATTTGCTTTAAACAATTTCTTGTCTGGATCCTTTATAATTCTTGTTAATATGTGTAATATTTGAAGTAATGAAATAAATTATTTAAAGAAAAGAGACTCTAGCAAAGATTTGTTATTTTTATGTATATAAATGCAAGATATTTTATACAATGAAATTTTACTAAAAAATATAACATAAAATCTACTTGCACTAACAGTAGTAGTTAAACAACTTTTTTTTTTTTTAAGAAAAAAAATTAATGCACGTTTTATTTATGTTCTCATTTAGATATATTTTATATTTTAAGTTTTATGAAATGGCTTATGATTACAGATTGCAAATTAATTTTCATTTTATTTTTTACGTTTATTGAGCCTTTTTCAGGGTGTTTGTGGAAATTCGCTTTACATCGGTAGAAACCGGGTAATAAAACCAGGTTATATAAACTTATTAAACTATTGACGTTCTATTTTTCAGCAGCTGTTCTTGAGCACGCTTTGTTGAGTTTCGGTAATTTTTAACAAAAAAGCGATTGTTATTATTTAAGTAATTTTTATCGAGTTACTTTTTTCAAAAATTTTAATAGCTGTACTTTCTTATTGAATCAAGTAGAATACGTTTTAATATTAATCCTTTTATTTTTTTTTTAATTTGCGCTTACCAATTTTTAAAATATTTCCTCGAAATTTCTCTTAAATACTTTAAATACGTCTAACAGTTAATAAACATTTTTAAATCTATGGAATAATTTTAAAACCTAACAAACCCCCGTAGAATAATTATTTAAGTTAAAAATCTAAAACTAAAAAAAAGTATTTTTGTTCATTTTTATCGACAACTTTGCTATTGCTGAATAATTTTATTAAAATGTTAGCTTAAAAAGATTTAAACTTTTTTTTTAATCTGAATTTTTTCTACTTGTAAATAATGAGCATATTTAATTTTTCTGTAATTCAAACTTTTATATCAACAGTGTGCCGTTTTTAAAATACTTTATTAAATGTTAAAATAATCGTAAATTACTTCATTAAAATTTCGCTCAAAAATATCTTTAAATATACTCAAACAAAAAAATTTTTGCTCGACGCAAATAGCCCTAGCTACATGCAAAATCACTCTTGGACGACATAAAATTCACATCGCCCGATGCTTTATCGCAAGACCTGCTATAGTCAGTTGATGTATTTACGCTTTGTAATATACAAAATATTAATATACTAGTTTATTTATTAAATTAATAAAATATTTGCAGTCCTTAAAATATGTTTTGTTTTGCAAAAAAGCTTGTATTTTACCAGTATGCATTCTACCAACAACCAAGAAATTAAAATATGTAATATTTTATTTCAAAACTTTTAAATTGTTAAAACTGAATACTGACAACCTTCCCTAGAATATTTTTTTCCCACTTTAAGCACTGGTTAGAATAATATACATCAAACTTATTTAATATTTGTTCTTTTAAATAAAAGAATATTTTTATTACACTTATTAATCTCTGTTAAAAAATACGGTTTCTATGGTTTCTGTACACAACTGTTGTAAATATTACATTATTGTTAAGTATTGATGTTTAACAACAAAAAGTAAAGTTAACATTAACAGAATTTTTATAGACTTTTGTATAAAATATATTTTTTCTAAAAATGTAGTTTTATAAAAATTTAAATGTAGTTAAGTTCAAGTTAAAAGATGTTTTTTATTAAATAAATGATAAAAAATAGTTTTTATTAAATAAGAGTTAATGATAAAAGTTTTTCTAATTTTATAACCAATATCCTATTCACAAGACAAATTCTCAATGGCTGCCACACCAATTTTAAGCAACAGTTAAAAGTAATTTAAACTGTTTTATAAAATAATTTTAATATGTGTTTACAAAATCCTTATTTTTTGTTTTAATTTGCAAATATGTTTAGTTTACTTTTACCAAAGTTTAATAACTTTTAAATTTTTATTAATTTTATGAACTATATTTAAATTTCATAAAAAAAAAAAAAAAGTTGAATTTAATGATCATAAATAAATGCAATACAAAATATAATAGGGTAATAAATATAAGAATAAATTCTTAAACATTTTATCTTGTATTTACTTACATTTTTTATTAAGATCAAGAAGTATAAAATAAAGTTATACTTAGGACAAAAACATATGTGGAGGAGCACATATTAAAAACATGTGTGGAGGAGCACATATTAAAAACATGTGTGGAGGAGCACATATTAAAAACATATATGGAGGAGCACATATTATAAACATATGTGGAGGAGAACATATTAAAAACATATGTGGGGGAGCACATATTAAAAACATATGTGGCGCACTAAACCTTGAAAACATTTGTGGAGAAGCAAATATTAAATGGTAAACATTTAAAAATAAGTTTAGAAAATTCTTATCAAAAGCAAAAAACAAAACCTGCCTCTATTTTATGACATTGGGCATTTCACAAAATTAAACAACAAACTAGACTTAAAATGAACTATAAATGAACAATAAAAATATAAAAACAGTAACTGTGAGAGAAACACTCAACAAAACTAAATCAGGTAAAATGTATAAAGTAAAAACTCACTAAAGCACCCTCATATTAAAATCATTACGCAAGTTGCCAAAGTATTCTGAAATTTTTTGCTTTGAGATCATTGTTTCTTTTCTAAAAAACTCAGCGATACTTTTCTCGTCACCTTCCATATGGCCATTGTCGATTAGATATTGGATGCCTACTTCTGGTTTCCTAAACATGGTTTATAACAAAACTGCATTTAATGAAAACACTAAATAAATATTTGCTCTAAATTTACTAAATGATTGTTAAAAAAAAGTGTATTTATTATAAACTCATTTTATTTTATTTTAACTAAGTGTGTGTTAAAATGAAATGAAATGAGTTTATAATACAGACCTCAGACATTTTTAGGACTGCAGTTGTCTTATGTTGACCTTAATTTCAAGGGCTGTACATATACATAATTACATATATACACACATACATACATACATACATACATACATACATACATACATACATACATACATACATACATACATACATACATACATACACACATATATACTAGGTTGGTTGAAAAGTTCGCGGAGCGGAAATGAAAAAACAATTTTATGATTCAAAAAATGACTTTATTCTTCAGTATATTCTCCCTTAAGAGCAATACACTTTTTCCAACGATTCTCCAATTCATGTATCCCATCTCTGAAGTGCGATTCCGGAAGGCCTTCAAAATACCCATTTACGGCTGCAATGACTTCTTCATGTGATGAGAAACGCTTTCCACGTAGAAATTTTTTGAGATGTGGAAAGAGGTGGAAGTCGGACGGAGCCAGATCTGGTGAATAGGGTGGATGTTCCAAGCGTTCATACTTTAATTCGACCAATTTCGCCTTTGCAACATCGCTGATATGAGCAGGTGCGTTGTCCTGGTGATAAATGATTTTTTTATGCAGCAAACCAGGTCTTTTCTCACGAATTTTTTTATCCAACTGGTCCAAAAGATTTTTATAATATTCACCTGTTATCGTTTTACCGGTTTGAAGGTAATCTATTAATAAAATTCCTTTCGCATCCCAAAAAACTGATGCCATAACCTTCTTTGACGATTTTGACGCCTTCACTTGCTTCGGAGCTGAACAACCGGGTTCTGTCCACTCTGCAGTTTGTTGTCGCAGCTTCGGATCATAGTGGTAAACCCAAGTCTCATCCATGGTTACGAATCGACGCACAAAATCTGTTTTATTCTTTTGAAAACGGGCCAAATGTTCTTGAGAAAGTTTTACTCGAGTGCGTTTCTGATCCAGAGTTAGCGAATGCGGCACCCATCTTGCCAACAGCTTTCTCAGACGTAATTCATCGTGCAAGATGTGTAATACCCGTTCATCTGAGATGCCCACAGCCTCAGCAATTTCACGTTTAGTCAATCGTCTATCATCCATAACCATGTCATGCACAGCATTAATCGTTTCTTCAGTAGTAGCACTTTTTGGACGTCCAGAGCGAGGGTCATCTTCAAGGCTTGAACGCCCACGTTGAAACTCCGCAGCCCATTTGCATACTGTTGTTTTTGAAGGAGCATCATCACCCAACACATTTACCATTTCATTATGAATTTCCATGGGCTTTAAACCTTTTTTCACAAAGAATTTTATTACAGCACGATGTTCAATATTTTCCATTTTAAAAAATACTATGACACGTCTAATTTCAATAGCTTGTAAACAAAGACTGAAATGACATATCGACTTGAAATTTTGTATGCGTTCATACGAAGAATGAATACGTTTAATACAGTTATAAATTTGTTTCTACTACTGCAACATAGGTGCCGCTCCGCGAACTTTTCAACCAACCTAGTACATATACACACTTAAACACACACACACACACACTAAAAAATAATTGCTTTTTAAATGTTATTTTATTGTTGATTTCTTTTGTAACTGTTTTATTATAGCATTATTTTATGGCTGATAGTGATCTATTCTATTTAAATCTAAATAAATGAAGAAAAAAAAAAAAAAAATGTTAGGCTACTGTCATTTATGTTTTAAATGGAATGATGTCTTGAAAAACTTTTTGAAGGTGGTTCTTATATAATCATAAAAAATTTCTTTATTTCCCATACGAAAAGTTCGAGTTAACTAAAGAAATATGCTGAAAGGGAACAAAAAAATGGTTTGACTTAACAAAGTTGGAATTAAAAGGTTCAACTTAACCATAATGGTAATCAATTTAACGATTACAAGCCAGATTTTTAGCCAGCACTTTTGCACTCAAGTCTTGACTTGCGCTTGCCAAAAAAATAAAAGCGTTTTGTTTTAAATTGCAACAAAAAACATATTTGTTCATTTATTTAACTTTTATAAAAAATGCTTTTTTTACAAGTTTTTTTTCAAATTATTTTTTCTAGTATTTATTCAAAGCATTCTTTTTGCTATTTTTATTTTAATAAAAACAGCAGAAAAAATGAATTTTTAAAATTGGGCAGGCTAATTTAAAAAAGACCATCCTACCAGCACTTTTTGGTGTGCTAGCATTAAATTACAAACGGAGAAGACTGTATATGTGTGTGTGTGTGTGTGTGTGTGTGTGTGTTTGTATATCAAAGTATTTTTTTAACAAGGAAAATAAATAATTTTAAAAATTTTTTAATTTTTATTTTCAACTTTTTTCAAGTCAAAAAAAATAAATAAATAAAGCTAACCAATTAAATAAGTTAACTCCGATTCGAAACTGACGCTTATGTGTTGACTTATCAACTGTTGGCTGAAATTTTTCTGGTAAAATTAAACTATCATTCATAGAAAAGCCATCCGTATAATCACAATCATAAATTTTATCTACCACAAAGCTTGAACCATCTTGTAACTTTACATGTTTATCATCTATCTCTGAAATGGTCGAATCTAAATAACATCTAAGATATTGTACTATCATATAGAATACTAGGACCAAGAAGAAGTTTTTAATTAAAAAAAAAAAGGCAGCAAACAGTAGTTATTGAAATTAAATTAAACTTATTAAAAAAAAAAAGTAATGCATCAGATTAAAAAAGAAAACAAAAATTTGCACTTTAAATATATATATATATATATATATATATATATATATATATATATATATATATATATATATATATACATATATATATATATATATATATATATATATATATATACATACATACTATATATATATATATATATATATATATATATATATATATATATATATATATATATATATATATATATATATATATATATATATATATATATATATATATATATATATATATATATATATATATATATATATATATATATATACAGTATTGGCCAAAAGTTTGAATCCACCTCAAATTTTTGGCCAAAACTGAAAATTTTTTGCATTGTTTATTTGTAATTTGTTTATATTGTTATACTATTGATTGATTGTTAGAAAAATTGCTTGACTCATACTTTTAATCTATTTGTGCTGTATTTTTTGTGTTTTTGTGTATTCAAATTCAGAGGTGGATTCAAACTTTTTGCCAATACTGTATATATATATATATATATATATATATATATATATATATATATATATATATATATATATTTAATTATTCACCTCCCCAAGGCCTAAGGGGGCCACTACAGTCAAGGAGGCTACTCATTTTTTTTTGTTTTTATTTCTTTATTTATTTTTTTGTTGTAAATCGTGGTACAACCCTCTCTCAACTCTTTAACTCCGAAACAGGAACCTTGACAAGCAAGACCGCTGCGCGGAGAAATTAAGTTGAGTGCAGTACTTCCAGGGACATGGTGGGAGTCGAACTCCGAACCTCTCGCTTACAAAGCGAGTGCTCTTACCACTACACCACTACCATATATATATATATATATATATATATATATATATATATATATATATATATATATATATATATATATATATATATATATATATATATATATATATATATACATATATATATATATACATATATATATATATATATATATATATATATATATATATATATATATATATATATATATATATATATATATATATATATATATATATATATATATATATATATATATATATATATATATATATAATAAGTGATTAACAAAAAAAGCTTAAAAAATCATACTTCCTAACCTTAATCCTAATTAAAAAAAACTAACACTTATTTTCTTGTTGCTAAATCTTGTTGAACTTAAATTTTTCTTGACTCTATGAAATTCTTTTTGATCTTCAAAAAAAAGTAAAGCATTACAACACATTTGATTGGTCCAAATGAAACTCTACAAGTAATTTGATTAGTTCTTGACTCTATGAAACTCTTTTTTGATATGTCCAAATGAAGGTACAACTCTCCAACTAATTTTAATGGTCCTGAGGCCAACAAGTAGTAAGATTTCCCAAAAGTTACAAAATATTGAAGCATTAATAATGCCATGTTAAGCATTGGATGTCCCTATTAGTGATTTTGTTATGGATTGTTAAGGCCACATAAAGAGCCCATTGTTATGACTTTGGGTTGATTATTTAGAATAATGCAACTGCATAGTTTATTGTTAAGGGCACCAAGTACTTTCTACTTTTGAATCAAGTTCAAAACTATAGTGACTTTAGAGGGTTACCTTGGACACTGTTCAAATTTAAAAAAATGTGAAACATTTACTCAACTTCAATTATATGATGCAACTTATTATAGTTATTTTATTACTTTACTTTGTCTCTATTGTTGATATATTTTTTCTATCACATTCATAAAAAGATATTAAATACAACAAAAATAGAATTTACAAGGAATAACCAAACATCCAAATATATGTTTTCTATGATGCTGCAATGTTGCAGGAATGTTGCTATGATGCTGTAATGTTGCAGGAATGTTGCTATCATGCTGCAATGTTGCAGGAAGCCATCGAAAAAGTAAAAAGCAAGGAATTATTTATTAGAAAAGCTTCAAATTTATATAACATAAAAAGAGAAACTTTAAACAATCATGCGCAACAAGAAATTTAGCCATCCAACAAGTTTGAATGAATTTGAAGAAAATAATGTTTTGAAACATGGTAGTCAGTGATTGGGGCTTTCCATAATCCTCCTTTGATTTTAGAGTTGTTGTAAAACATTATTTAAATACCACTGGAAGAAATGTACCCAGTTTTTAAACCAATACTGGTTCACTTGAATGGTCAATTTAATTTTTTGGGCCACCACAAAAACAGTCTTTGCCCATAAATAAGTCAAAACATTAAAAGTGTTTTTGTGAAAGTATAGAGTTTCTATAAATATTTTAATAATTTACAATATTCATTAAAAGATAAAAATGGAAATATTTTAGATACCTTGAGGATTTTTAACTTAGATGAAATAAATGTAAAAAAAAATCCTGGTATTTTTTAATGTTTCTTCAGTATGTGGAATTAAAGACAGTATAAAGGCAAGCATTTCTATAATGTTTTGTGAATCATCAGCAGGAACATTCTGCCTCCTTATGTAGTTTACAAATCTTAAAATTTATAAAATCGCTGGACGGAGGTTGAATTAAGAGATGTAAGATCTGGTTGGTTTGATGCAGAGATATTTTCAGATTAGTTTAAGAGTTCTTTTTTGACATATAATAAGCATCTTCCCACTGATATATTTGTAACTATAGGTAATTACAAATGTACCATTAGTATATTTGTAATTACCTATAATTACATAATCTAGCTAGTTATTTTACAGAAAGAGTTGCATTTTAGATTTTGAAAATGAAATGATCAATATTAAATGAATGGAAAAATTGTTCTAATAAGTTACTAAAGGTTTAAATGGTTTCTAATAAGTTACTAAAGGTTTATAGTTCACTTTTTATAGTCACTAAAGGTTTATAGTTCACTTTTTATAGTTACTAAAGGTTTATAGTTCACTTTTTATAGTGCAGTTTGAGAGCTCAGCATGTTTACATATATATCACTGTGATTCGTTACGCAAGCCAATTGTTAGAAGACTGAGTTTCTAAAAATTGAAACCACAGATGCTATTTTGTAGCAGGAAAAAAAGATTTAGTATAAAACACTTGTTAAATTGTTTGAAGAGTTCCGGAGAACATTTTGTGAAGAGAGTACTGAAGGTTCCGGAAAACAATTTTGTAAGCCTGTTTCATGAATATTGTCAGAACCATTACAAGTAGAAAATACCAAAATAACTATAGGAAGCACAAAGGAACAACAAAAGCCAGAGTGGTTTGGATTTCTAACAATGGATTAACTTATTTCTTAGATGTCATGAAAAGTGAGATCATTAAATTCAGGAGATAAATTAGAGGAAAAGGCAAAATAGTTAAAAAAATAAGAAAAAATAATTAAGAAAAATAGTTACTTGCAAAAAATAGAGGTTTTTTGCAAGTAACTATGCCTGATCCTTGAGAGAGGTAAAAAGATCAGATTTATCTGTAAGAGAAGGAATGTAAGACTTTTTAAATTAAACTATTAAAGACTTTATTAATAAATGCGAAAAGTCTATAGAATCTTATAAGAAAATAGTTACAAGATTAAACACTTGAGAATTATGTAACATAGCATTAGATAATACCTTTCAGTGATTTTTTACAATGTTAGAAAGACATTTGCTTTTAAGAGAGTTGTTCTGCTGAATAAGATGAAAAAAGAACTATAAATATAAAAATAAAAAGCATTTGCATGAAAATAGCAGCTGCACAAGCAGAAGAATACCAAGAATATCACTCTACCGTGGGGTAGAGACTTTATTTAAAACTAATGAGAAAGAAAAGGCTTTCATGCTTGCCTGGATCCAGGATATATAGGAGCTTCCAAACCAGGAGGAGGCACAATTATCAGCAAAAAGACATGAAAGAGATCAGCCTAAGAAATAGAACATCACAAGATGAATGATAGCTTTAATATAGTTAGAAGTACATTGATAGGATGAAAATGAAATAAATACAAGTTAAAATAAATTAATATAAATAAAATAAATTAAAATATATTAAGTGAAGATTAGAATGATGAATAAGTTGAATAAATGAGACAACTTTTAGTCATACCATGGTCTGAACATAAAAAAAAGAACAAAGCAAATGTTTTAAAAGGGCTTGTTCAATTTGATCAGAAATAACATCAAAAAAGATAAAAAGAAATTCTTCATTGTTTCTCTTTTTCTTTAGAAGTAAGAAAAAGATGCATTATAATTTCACAACAAATAATTGATATGTAAGTATGATAGGTCAGGTCAGGTTTTCCTGCTACTGGTAACATGTAACCCAGTACAACCTGCTCCATGTCCTGCTGCCTTGTAGGATACGCTTTTTTAGGCAAAGGCTAGGAGAAGTTAACTCCGATTTAAAACACCCCCTGCCTTGGGGCTCTTGGTTGAGTAAAGGCTAGAGATGGTGTCTCGATAAAAATACTCATCTTGGGCAGATGTTACATGCATCCAGCTGCTGTCTTGTAGAAGGCCTCCTAGGCAAAGACTTAAGGGGTAAACAGATTCTATCTGTTGACCAGCCTCGCACCCCTTCCTCATCTATTAGGCTGGCGCAGATGTATTTTTAATACATTGTTTCCAGTTTAGGATGTTGAACGCTGGATCTTCTTGACTCAATGCGTGGGTATTGCTTGTGTCTCTATTTTTATGACTGGGCAACTCATTCTATTATCTCCTAATGAGGGTACAGCTCTAAAACTCAGTTTTATGGTTCTGAGGCCGGCTGGTAGTCAGGTTTCCCGAACTCTGTGGTAGCTCTCAGAGAGGCTGATTCCATCAACAGCCGAAAAATATCAGAGTACTAACAGTGCCATGTTGCGCATGGATGGTGTCCCTGATTGTACTTTTGGTGTGCATTGCAGAGGCCACATTTGGAGCCCTTTGTTACGGCTTAGGGTTTATTAATAGTAATGAGGCTATTGCTTAGTTGTTAAATAGTGTACTGAGTACTATCTATACTTGAGTCAAGTTCTTTATAAATTTAAAATGACTAAAGTACCTAAAACTAAAAAACACAAAAAACCATTGTCATCACCAAGTTCTCTAAACCTATCATTTACTAATATTCGTGGTCTTCGAAGTAGCTTTTCTTCTGTTGAGTCTTATCTCTTGCAAAGTTCACCAGACCTACTTGCTCTTTGTGAGACTAATTTGAGTTCGGCTGTCCCATCTTGTGATCTTAGTGTTGATGGTTATCTTCCTTTAATTCGTAAAGACTCCAATAATCACATGCTTGGCCTGGGCATCTACATTCGTAAGAACTCACCCATTTGTCGTGAAACTAGGTTTGAATCTACAGACTATTCATTTATGTGCTTTCGTTTAGCACAACTTCACTCTATCGCCTTTCTCTTTGTTCTATATCGCTCTCCTTCATCCCAAGATTGCACTATTCTTGATGTTATTTCTGATCAAATTGACCAAGCCCTCTCTCTTTATCCATCGGCCAATATTGTCGTTGTTGGTGACTTTAATGCCCATCACACCGATTGGCTTGGCTCTAGTGTCAGTGACTCTGCTGGCGTTAAGGCCCTCAACTTTTGCCTTTCTCAATCTCTAACTCAAATAGTCAACTTTCCAACTCGTTTTCCAGACAACCCTAATCATTTACCTTCTCTACTCGACTTATGTCTTGTTTTGGATCCTAGTCAGTGCTCAATTTCTCCACATTCACCCTTAGGTACTTCTGATCACGGTTTGATCTCTCTAAAACTATTATCAAATTCTTCTACTTCATCAGAATCCCCCTATCATCGTACCACATACAACTACCTTAAAGCTGACTGGGACTCTTTCCGTGATTTTCTTCGTGATGGCCCTTGGGTAGAAATCTTTCGTCTTCCTGCTGACAAATGTGCTTCTTACATAACTTCGTGGATTCAGGCTGGCATGGAATCTTTTATTCCCTCTCGACGATTCCAGGTCAAGCCTCACTCTTCTCCTTGGTTTTCCTCACATTGTGCTGCAGCAATTTCTAATCGAAACCGTTACTTCCATATCTATCAGCAAAACAATTCTCCAGAAAACAGACATCTGTTCACTATCGCCAGAAACCATTGTAAAAAGGTTTTGTCTGACGCCAAAGCTCGCTATTCCCAGGTCATTAAATCTCGTATCTCATCACAAAAATTAGGCTCTCGAGACTTCTGGAGAATCTTTAACAGTATCAATAATAAGGGCAAATCTGTTATTCCTTCTCTCTTGTATGGTTCAGACTTTGTCACCTCACCTAAAGACAAAGCTGAATTGTTTGCTAAGAACTTTTCATCAATATCATCTCTTGATTCCACTAGTTGCGTTTTACCTGACATAGCCGTCAAACAGGTTGATCCCTTGCTTGACATTCGCATCACTTCAGCTTCTGTATCTAAAGTAATTTCCTGCTTAGACTCTTCAACAGCTTGTGGTCCTGACAACATTCCTGTTGTAGTCTTGCAGAGGTGTTCTCCGGAGCTTTCATCCATACTTTCTAAACTATTTAACAAGTGCTTATCAGAGTCTTGTTTTCCATCATGCTGGAAAGCAGCATCTGTTATCCCTATTTTCAAAAATTCCGGAGAGCGATCTGATTCATCTAACTACCGTCCCATTAGTCTTCTTCCTGTCATAAGCAAGGTTTTTGAATCTTTAATCAACAAACACTTAATCTCTCATCTTGAATCAAATAACTTACTTTCTGATCATCAATATGGATTTCGGTCTTCTCGTTCTACAGCTGATGTGCTAACAGTAATAACCGATAGGTTTTACCGTGCATTAGATAGAGGTGGAGAGGTTAAGGCTATCGCACTTGACATTTCTAAAGCTTTTGATAAAGTTTGGCATGCTGGTCTTCTCCATAAGCTTTCTTCTTATGGTGTAGCTGGTAACGTCTTTAAGATTATTGAGTCCTTTCTTTCCAATCGTAGTATAAAAGTTGTCCTCGATGGACAACACTCTTCTTCACATCCTGTAACTTCAGGGGTTCCTCAAGGTTCAATCCTTGGCCCTATACTCTTTTTAATTTACATTAACGATCTTCCAGATATTCTCACATCTAAGGTGGCATTATTCGCTGACGACACTACCATTTACTCTTGTCATGATAAGAAGCCTACACTCTCTGATTGCTTGGAGGGGGTATCTGAGCTTGAAAAGGATCTCACTTCTGCTACAGCATGGGGCTCACAGTGGCTGGTGAACTTTAATTCAGATAAAACTTAATTTTATTCGGCCAATCGTTATCGTAATAATTTAGATCTTCCTATATTTATGAATGGTAATGTGCTAGATGAGTCATCTACCATTCATCTTCTAGGATTAACTCTTACTTCTGATCTTTCTTTTAAACCGTATATCAAATCCATTGCAAAATTAGCATCTGCTAAGGTTGCATCTCTTTATCGAGCTCGACACTTTCTTACTCCAGATTCTATTCTCTATCTCTATAAATCTCAAATCCGTCCCTGTATGGAATACTGTTGCCACATCTGGGGCGGATCTTCTAGTGATTCTCTTTCTCTTTTAGACAAGGTGCAAAAACGAATTGTAAACATAGTTGGACCTGCTCTGGCAGCCAATCTCCAACCTTTGTCACATCGTCGTAATGTTGCTTCTCTTTCTCTTTTCTACAAATACTATAATGGGCACTGCTCTAAGGAGCTAGCGTCCCTTGTGCCATCTACTAAAATTCATTCTCGTGTTACTCGCCATTCAATTAAGTCTCATCCTTTTTCTGTGACTGTTCCTAAGTGCTTCAAAAACTCTTATTCTTCTAGTTTTTTTCCTCGAACATCAGTTCTTTGGAATTCGCTTCCTTCATCTTGCTTTCCTGATTCATATAATTTGCAATCTTTTAAGTCATCAGTCAATCGTTATCTTGCTCTACAGATTTAGTCTTTTCTCTTCCAGTAACTTCCAACTCTTATAGTGGTTGCTTGCAGCCTTGTTGGAAGTGAAGATGTTAAAAAAAAAAAAAAAAAAAAAAAAAGTACATGCTCAGACAAACCTATTGAGGTAACTATTGAGGTAACTATCCTTGGTGGTATCCTTGTGTTTATTCTTATCTATATTATGAATCTTCCTAAAAATCTATATAACTGCTTTAAAGAGACAGTTTAATTTTTATTTCAAAACTCTTTTATCAAAATTAAAACAATTTTCAATTTTAATAAAAGAAGTTTTGAATGTCATCTTTTTTTTGAAGTTTTAAAAAAGGCTGGTGAATTTTAACACTAAAAACTCAGTTGTTTACTGCTAATATTCATCACATTATTAATAATATTGACAAATGACAATACTCTTAATAAACTTTCTACTTCTTGAATTATCTTTCACTATTAATCTCTCATGGAAACCATATATCCATGGAAACCATATATCCAATCCATAGCAAAGTGATAGATAAAAGATATTAAAAAAGAACCACCCTGAGTTCTTATAATAATTTTTTTATGACTTTTTATTTGTTTGTAATGTAATGTAAAAATAATATAAATATAAATTAATCATTGTGAATGTGTAATAAAAATGTTCAATTTTTATATTTTTATTTTACTTTTCCTAACAAATAATGTCTATATTTAAAAGTGTTTTTTTTTAACTATTTAAATATTGTATATGTTGGTTGGTTCTACGTTTTTACTGAAATTTTGTAAAAGTTCTTGTTTGCCCATTGCAAAGTTAATATCTACTAAAATTATTTCTCTTTATTTTTCACAGCTTTGCAAAAGAAAAAGAAAAGGCTCTATTACTCTAAAGCACAAACTTTTACCACAGGGAAACAAATTTATAATAAAAATTAATAATAAAAACAAATTATTAATATTAAAAAATATATATTTGTGATATTATATTGGAATTACAACAACAAAAAATATAATTAGAAACTTAACAAAATGAATAATGTAAAATAAAGTATATAAAATTAATAAATATAAAAAATAAAATATTATTAATAACCTAAAACAAAAAAATTATCCAGTAATGCACTATAATAAACATCCATTAATTATGTTAAATTATGTTTAATAACTTAGTTAATTATGCACTAAACTATGTTTAACAATGTATAAGATATTATAAGATAACCTTCAATGATATCATAGTCATTGCAAGTATCTTCATACTCCACTTCTGCGTAGGGATCACTTACATCGCTCATCAGTCTGCTAATACTAGTTTTCTCCAATTGAGACTCATCTAAGTCCTAAAAAATAAATTGACACTGATATTTCTTTTTTGTGACTAAAAACTCTTTTTAAACTGAAACTGAAAAGAAGTGAAAAAAATACAAAGGTAAAAAAAAAAAAGTGTAAATATCACTTTTAATTGGTTGAAATTTAGACATTTTTCTTAAAAACAACCAACCAATTCTATCAATTTTTTTTTTTAATAATGCCAGCATAATTGGTTTTTATTTCAACAAAAAAAATCTTCAACTTTAAAACATTTAGCTAATTTTTTGTAATATCCACATCAACTTGCCACTTTTTTGTAAAGTTATCTCTATCCAATCCACAACCACTTTTTTGTAGCATTAACCCATAAATCTTTGAATTTTTCAACACTATTTGCACATTTTCATTTTTTCCTCAGTATTCCCTTTACTAATGTCCAGTAAGATTTGATGACTCGCTGCTCAGAACAGTTTGGTGGATTATCATCTTTTGGAACTACATCAACTCTATTATTCTTATACCAATCAATTTTTTTTTTGGAATAGTGAACCAATGTTAGATCTGGCCAAATTAAAGTTGGTTGTTTATACTTTTTAATTTAGGAGGGAGTCATTTTTCCAACCATTTAGTCACATATAGAATTGATATCAAAGATTGATTTATTACTATTAAAGAAGTTAGTTAAATTACACAGAACAGGCCTGTTCCATGAGCCTATAAACAACTAGCCAGCAGTCAGAATTTGATGCATCTTGTCTCATAGTCAAACCGCTTCATTTTGTGCAGTGTTGATGCTGGATGCGTTCTATGATACTTTTATCTTTTTCAAGGAACGGGCTGTTAAAGTTACAACTACAAACAGCCTGCCATAAAAAGAATTTGCAGGTGAATTTTCTGACTCGAATGTACTTAAATCTGTCAGACACTTTATAAGGTTTCAACTAATATCTGAATATCAAATGATTAACTAAAAGTATTGATTTACAGAAAGGATCAAGTAATATTTTTTACAGAAGATTTTATCTTCTTCATAGATCATTTAAAAAAAAATCATAGAGCTTAAGAAAACTTCATTTAAAATTAGTGATATCAGGCTTTGTTTTAAAGCATTAAGCTGCTGGCAATTTATGTATGCGTAAAGCAATTTTACATATGCCTAGAGTGATTTCCATTAAGCAACTTTTTATAATTTTTAAAAATTATTCTATAAGCGGTAAGATGAAGAAGTAATTAATTAAAAAAAAAAAAAACATTAAATTTTAAATGACGATTAAAAAATCAGCTTGTTTTTATCGCATTGTTTTTTTGGTTTTCCTTCCTAAACATTTTTTTTTTACTCAAAATTAAATTTTAAATAAACGCTGCATCAAAAGTTTGCACAAAACGTAAGTTAAACTTTTTTTTATGCCGCAAGTTAAATCGCAGCAATTATTTTTTAATAAACGATATATTCAATGATGTAATTTTAATAATAAAATAATAAATTAATAAACTTTAAATAAATAAAGTTAAAAAAATTAATGTAATTTTTTTATTTGTTAGTTGCGAATTTTTTTTAAATAAAAAATCAACATTTGGTGCAAAGTCGCAATTAGAAATTTAAGAAAAAATAACTTTAAAAAATTTAATATATTTTAATTTATTTACACTAATGTCAAGCAAAGAAAGAAATTTGTTTATATCAAACATTTTTAAAAATGTAATATTCAATTATTTAATGTTAAAAAAACAATTGAAAGAAAATAAGCATTCCCTAATAGTAATAATAATAAACAAGTTAAATAATATTTAACTTGTAATATTTATATTATATTAATATTTAATATTGTTGCAGTAATTTTAAAAAGTCAGTCTTTAAAAAATAAAAAAAATAAAGGGAACTTCATGACGCCAAATTCACATTAGGTTAATGAGTTAAGCATTTCTTAATTTCTTTAAATTACCCAAAGAAATCTTAATATATCAACAACCACGCACTGTTGAAATGAGATTATCTGTTTTGTCAGTAAATGAATCTGTTTTCTATAATGCTATCCCACCTTAGAGAGAAGCTTTAAAAAATTGTAAACTAAAATACCAACCTCAAGTTACCTTGACTAAAAACAAAAATCGAAAACAAAAAGTCACATAGTACAACCCTCCATTTAGTCAGAATATGAAAACATAGGCAGTAGTTTACTGGCATTAACCTGCACTTTCCAATAAACCATAAATTTTGCAAAATATTCAAAAGAAACTCAATCAAAGTTAGTTATAGCTGTATGCAAAAGATAAAATCTATAATTAATTCACATAAACACAAGATTTTGCACAGTGATACAAATTTGAATGCAAGAACTTGCAACTTCATTACAAAGGGCGCTTGCCAATTGAACAATCAATGTTTATTAAGTAATATTGTTTATCAAGCTACTGTGATTGATGAAAATAAATCCTAGTATTATCCTTCAATTTGATGAAAATCCTAATCAATATGATCTCTTTCAAATACCGAATTTAGATTCTAATAATAACTTTTGTTAAAAAATTTTAACTATGGTTTAAAATTAAAGTTAATTACAATTCAATACTTTAAAAAACTTTTAAAATTTAAAAGCTCCTGTAATAAAAAAGATCTTAATAATTACAAAACATTAAAAGCAAAGGGTTTTGAAGTATTTGTAAACTGTTCTTTTATATTTGTCTTTGTTGTTGTAAAGGAGCGCAAGGAGCTTTTTGATAAAATTAGTTCAAGTGAAAAACCTTATGACGTATATATTGGCATGTGCTTTATCTGAAAGTAGAAAATGTTATACATAGTTTACAACATTATTTTTATTTATTTTATTTTTATTTTATTTTACTTCTATTTTTCACTTAACCCTATAATGAAAAATGACTAGAATAAGTGAGAAATCCACTGAACGCGAAAGTTTTTTAGTTAACATTTTAGTTAAATTGTTAATTAACCGGAAAAAATATGTTACTGTAGCTTTAATATTAAATAAAAACTTTAATATTAAATGAAACAATGAAATAACTCCATTTACTAAAAGTTGACAACATAATATGACATAACATAATATGACAACATTGTTTCCTATTGGAGTTGAATTAACATGCTTAATAGCGGACATTCTAAACAACAGAAACATTTTAATTTTAAATAAATAATAGTTAAAAACAAAATTAAAAAGAATATTTTTTTTATTTACAAAAGATGAGTGAAAAATTAAAAAAACAATAAAGCAAAAGAATCTTACATTTTTACAAAATTTTGTGCATTAAAACTTTTGATTTTTCAAAATTCAATCAAGTTTTAATTTTTTAATTTAAATTTTCTATTCTCATTGAGACGAAACATTTTGAAAATAGTAAACATTCCATTCTATCTGTTAGCTGTAATGACTTCATAACTTTCCATTTATTGTTAGTACAAAAAAGAAAACTGCATTCTAATTTAAACCAAATGCGCAATTTAATTATTATCAAGTGAATGATTTTTATATACTTAAGTATATACTTAATAAATATATAATAGATTTTTTACTCTTGTAACAAAACTAGCAAGCGCTGTTTGTCGCTTCCAGAAGGCCATTTAAGTGCATGTTTCATGTGCACGGAGCAATTGCTCCCGTTCATCACAAGGTCTGATACATATGGGCAATTCCATTTTTAACTTACGCTACATGCGCAACAACTTTATCAAATATTTGCCTATTTAAACAGTAAATTAAACTTTTAGCTATTTTGTGTGAAAGCTGTTAGCCTAAAGAATAAAATAAGCTAAAAAATTTTGAGCCTGGCTGAATAAGGGTAAACTTTATACTAAAAATGCCACTTAACTTACATTATACGGAAAACTAGGTATAAAATTGCTTCAACTTTTAGGTCAGATTTCTGCGAATCAGTAAACCAGTATATATTAGAAACTTTCACAAGATGTAAAGAATTCTATGCCAATTTAAAAAATATAAAAAATTTTATCAAAAAACCGGGTAAAGAAAATAAACTAGTTTTTTTGATACTATGTATCTCACTTACATTACCTTGCGATTATTATCATGGATTTTTACATCTATTATTTTGAGTTAGAGTTACGTAACTAAACAAATGTAAAGATATTGAACTCATTCATTAAAAATAATTAACAAAGGAAATTTTTAAAAACTGGTGGCACTCTTCCTGAGTGATTTTTCATAACATTTATAAAAGTAATTCAATCAAAAACAGTTTTTCCGCAAGACCAAGAGGAACTTTGAAAAATTATTTTAATATTACAACTTTTTAATACTAATTTGAGTCGTTTAAATATAAAAATCTTTGGTTTGTTGAAGTTTTTTTATGTATATATATATATATATATATATATATATATATATATATATATATATATATATATATATATATATATATATATATATATATATATATATATATATATATATATATATATATGTATATATATATATATATATATATATATATATATATATATATATATATATATATATATATATATATATATATACAGGCCTTGCAATAAAGCGTCAGGCGATGTGAATTTTACGTCGTCCAAGAGCGATTTTGCGCGTAGCTAGGGCTATTTGCGTTGAGCAAAAAAAATTTTGTTTGAGTATATTTAAAGATATTTTTGAGCAGAATTTTAATGAAGTAATTTACGATTATTTTAACATTTAATAAAGTATTTTAAAAACCGCACTCAGTTGATATAAAAGTTTGAATTACAAAAAAATTAAATATGCTCATCATTTACAAGTAGAAAAAATTTAGATAATAAAAAAAGTTTTTTAAGCTTTTTTTTTAATTTTTATAAATCTTTTTAAATCTTTTTTAAAAATCTTTTTAAGCAAACATTTTAATAAAATTATTCAGCAATAGCAAAGTTGTCGATAAAATTGAACAAAGATACTTTCTTTTAGTTTTAGATTTTTAACTTAAATAATTAATTTATGGGGATTTGTTAGGTTTTAAAATTATTCCATAGATTTAAAAATAGATTATTCGTATTTAAAGTATTTAAGAGTAATTTCGAGGAAACATTTTAAAAATTGGTAAGCGCAAATAAAATAAAATAAAAGGATTAATATTAAAACGTATTCTACTTGATTCAATAAAAAAGTACAGCTATTAAATTTTTTGTAAAAAGTAACTCGAAAAAAATTACTTAAATAATAGCAATCGCTTTTTTGTTAAAAGTTACCAAACTCAACAAAGCGTGCTCAAGAACAGCTGCTGAAAAATAGAATGTCAATAGTTTTTCAAATAATTTTTAATAACAATTTTTAAGAATAATTTTTTCGCTGAAATATTTCTTTTATACCTATAAGATTTTTATTCTAACATTTTATTTTATTTTACCAAAAATTTATCAAAAAAAATTCCTTGTAAACATTAAAAACCTATTTAAAATGTTTGTTAAAGTTTTATAGTAATACGAGTGATTGTGCTTATCAACCGCTTTATGAAAATATATAAAAATAAATAAATAAAAAAATATTATATAAAATCGCTAGTAAAAATATTAGCTATTGCACAGTTTTTAATCGTACAATATAAAAATTTCCAGTTTATTACTCGCTGACTTTTTAAAAAGAAAAATTAATTATTTGGAAAATTTTAAATTACATATTTGGGAAAAAAAATAATCAAATATAAGCATTTTTTATAATCTTTTATATGTTTTTTATTTGTTTAGTATAGACAAAACGTGTCAAACGTCGAGAAAATAAACAAATGTTTTTACATTTTAAAAAACGAAACATTCCAAAAGATTTTAAAATAATAACATTTTGACATTAATGATTTAAAGTAGTTTTGCGGTAATTAAGTAAATTGGTGCAGTTAATGTCGATAAATATGAAAAGCAAATAAAAAGAATTTAATGACATCAAAAATCACGTCGCGCAGTTTTTATTCATCACAAGGTCTGCATATATATATATATATATATATATATATATATATATATATATATATACATACATACATACATACATACATACATACATACATACATACATACATACATACATACATACATACATACATACATACATACATACAAACATACATACATACACAACTGGATTAAACCATGGTTTAAACGAAGTTTAGAATCAAGATGAGAGTAGAAAAGTGGCAAAGCTTGCTTTTATAAACAGAACAAAAATGATGTACTGGTGTATAAAGTAATATTGATATAATTAACTCAAATAAAATGCCTAATGTCTTTTTTTAACTGAAAAAGTTAACTAAACACAGCTTGTTTTTAAAAGAAAAGAGTTTAAATAAAAAAAAAAAAGATCTTTTTCTTTCTTGAAAAAAAAAACAATTTTTTTTTCCAACAATTAAAAAGGTCTTTTTTTTAACCCTGAAACAAATGTATAATTAATAACATAAAGTAATAAATCAATTTGAAAACAAATAACATTAAGATAAAAACCTTATTTTCTAAGGAACTTTCCAGTTCTTCAGGAATTGTTCCATCAATATGAAATTGCTCAAAGTTATTTATTACAGCTTCATTTGTAGTATTATTGGATAAGTCACTGTTTGACCCATCAATAGCATCACTTGAAGGTTCCTCTGAATCAGATGATGAAATGCTTAGTTTATTATCTAACTGACATTCGTTATCATCAACAATCATTACAGGATTTTCCGGACCATAAAAAACTAATGAAGTTTGCTGTAGCTTTTTAAAATAATTCCCAGGAGCTTTTGTTAAAGAGTTTTTTCTGTCTGAAAATGCCCGCATTCTCTGAAAACTTCTATGCATAATCCAGCGACGATAGTGGTGTTGAATAACTTTAGCTGCTCTATTAGCTTTCTCTTTACCACCATATTTATTCTCTAAACATTCAATAGCCTTTTCGCGAAGATCTGAAGAAAGCTGATAAATACTTGAACTATCACGAGGAAGATTTCGAAGTCTCGATGAGCGTGCTAGTTTGGGGGAAGAGAAAGTAACATTTTCATTATTTAAAGCAGGTCCACCTGTATCTCTTGATATATTTACTATATCATATAAAGTACTTTCTCCATGAGAAGCTATCCTGATATTAGTATTAGAGATATCGGAGACTTCTGATACAGTATTGACCATACTAAAATACAATTTAAAAAATCTCAATAAATAATTGTACATTTACACACGAATATATATATATATATATATATATATATATATATATATATATATATATATATATATATATATATATATATATATATATATATATATATATACATATATATATAACACTTTTAGTTTTTATTAATTTTTTTTATTTTAAAACAAAATAAAAAATCTTTGACTCCAAACAAGATTTACAAATTACATAACATACAATTATTTTTTCAAAAGAAAACAATAAGACAGAAAATATATTTGTCTGCTACTAAATAGGATTTCAAAACCATATAATGCATGCTTGGTTAGTTAATAAATAAAACAGTTATAGAAAATAAAAAATTATATAGATATGTGAATACTTTATCTTTAGTTTGCATCTCCCTTTTATATTTTCTTTTATTATTATAATTTTTTTCATATATACTTTTATCTCAAATCTTAAACATTTTGGTATTCATAGTATGTGAAACTCTTTAAAAAAGTTTTTGATTCTTTAAAAAAAAGTGTCACCTTTAAAAAACCTAACAATTTTAAAAAAATTTATTAAAGTAATTTAAAAGTAATATTATCTATAAAAAAAAAAAAAAAAAAAATCTTGCTACATTTTAAAAATTCCTTAGATGTTTTTATATTGCTATTGATTTGAAAAAACAAAAAACCATGACAAATTAAACATGATGACGTACAAAACTTGCTTTGTATCAAGTATTAATGTTTCTAGTAAGCAAACATTTGCTTTTGTTGAAATTTAAATATTAAACAATTGTGCTAACTATTATAGTTGAAAATATTAATCAGAGGCAATATTTAGACAAAGACAAAACAAATGTATCTGACTTTTTTTGAAAAAGATTATCTTACATTACTCAACATAATCTGCTTAAATTACCAACTTTTTTTTTTTTTTTTTTATAAAAACAAAAAAAATCTAATATACGTTGTATAATATTGAAAAAAAAAAAAAACATTAAAAAACAAATTATGATAATTTTTTAAAATATTTACAATAAAAAATGTTTTTAAATGTGATAAAATTATTTAACAGTTACAAACATTTTTTAAATAATTTTTAAAGGTAAAAAAACATTAAAAAATTTGATTAAAAAACAAACAAACAAATAAATTGTTATAAAAAACAGGTGGATAAATACTGCCACGAAAAATACTTTTTACAATTAAATTTTAAAATAGTTGTAAATAGATAGTTAAAATGCAATTTTTTTTTTAATTAAGTTTATTTTTCATCAATTTTTTAGCAACAATAAATACAATCCCAAAAATCAGTAGGAATATTTAAAAAGAATTTATCACAAACTCAGAATAAGCTAAGAAAAAAAAAAGAGTAAATTATTTATTGTTAAACTATTGTTTATTTATTGTTAATACAGTCAATTGAATTCAAAAAAGAGAATGAAGAAGAAAAACAAGATGTTTTGGTATCAGTAACTATTACTACTAATCTATTACTAATAATTTATTACTAATAAATAATACTATTCTAATTCCCTTAAGACAAATTTATTTTAAAACATATATTGGTATTTGTTTATTTCAAACACAATTTAAATTATTAAACAATTTTATCCTTTTTTTTAATGATTAATAAGTGACAAACATGACCAATATTTAAAAGGCAATATACTTATGATCACACCTAGAAAAAAAAACTATTACAAAAGTTTATATTCAATATATTGAATAAAAAATTTATAAAACACTTAGAACATCAAGCAGAATAAACTTCAGTTTTTTGAACATGATTTATTTAAAGAAACATATAAGACAAGATTATTATTGACCATCTTAATCAGCTATGTTACATGTAATCAAGTTAAACTAACACATGACTAATTTGCTTTTTTAAGCAAAAGATAAATTTAGGTAAAAAGCTAAAAGAACTAATTCTAAACTTCCATGCTTTGGATTATTTGGTTGAGTAAAGGCTAATTATGCCTCAAAAATATTTTCTTTTTGCTTTCATAACATGATATTACAGAACAGTTAAAACATTTTTAGCAATCTGATGCCTTTCCTGACATCAAATGATGTCTTTCCTGACATCAGATGATGACTTTCCTGACATCAGATGACTAAAATAGTTTTGCAGATCTGAGTATACTGAGTATTTTTGTTGTGATGTTACCACAAGGAAAATTTTCATTGAAGGTTTGCAAGCTTTTACCACCTATACCTACAGGTAAATCTTTTTTATAGTTGAATTGTACATACCACTTCTAAGGAGTTTACATTGCCCTATTGACTCTACTTATGAGTTTTGCATGGATGGTACCCCTGTTAGTGCTTTTGGTAAGCATTGTCAAAATAATATAATAAGCACATTAACGCTATCTTGATTATCAGGAACAAGGCAACTGCATAGTTTATTGCTTAGATTGTCAAGTATTGTCTATGTTTGAATTGAATAAATGAGTCTCATAAATGAGCCTAATAAATGAGTCTAATAAATGAGTGAACTTTTCTCTAATAATTTAAATCAAAACTACAGAACCAAAAAAACATAAAAAACCATAGTTACCATCAAATTGTTTTACTCTATTTTTACAAACATTCATAGTCTTTTTAGCACATACTGGTTTATTAAATGTTATTTCTTGCCTGAACATATTTGACCTTTCTGAAACTAATTTAGGTTTGACTGTTTTACCTTTGTATCTGATTGTTGATACCTAATATCCTTTAATTGGGAAAGACTCTAAAAGTCAATGGTTGGCTAGGCATTTTTCATGTGCTTTTGGTTAGCAATGCTTTATTCCATTGCCTTTCTCTTTGTTCTTTATTTTTCTTAAAAATTGTGATTTTTTTAGTGTTATTTCTGATCAAATTAACTGTTCTCTTTATTTAAAGAAAACTTCTGTACCTTTAAAAAATAATTTTTTTAAAGGCATTTTAACTTCTACTACATTGGCAACAACTATAATGAAATATACATAAACAACTATTAATAATTATTATTATTATTAATTGCATAAAAAAACAATAATAAAAATTATAATAATAATTGTTAGTTGTTCACCAAAAATATAGTCAACTAAAAGGGATAAGGGTTGAACTAAACGCACAGAATTGAATATTAAAAAGCAATAGGTATCCAAAATTACAAAGGGGTTGTCCATAAACTATGTCACAATTTTCAACTGCTTTTGACCCCCTTCCCCCTCCCCCTCCTCACAACATCGTAACACTTTAGTAACGCCCCATACTAGTCGTCCCAAAACCACTCCCCCTGCCCCTTTTTTAATCTGTGATTTAATTTATGGACAACCTCAAAAGGCTAAAAGACTAGGGATAAAAATGAACAGAAATAGAAATATAATATGAAATAGTTATGGCAAAACTGTGTAGAAGGCATGGCCTAATTGAAGCTTAAAAATTATGTATATATGTCAGTGACTGATTGAAGAATTTTTGGTGGTGGTAATGGTGGAGATTGGATGTTGAAAAATTTTTGTATTTTGCATCAGATTTGCATCTCCTAAAAAAAGAAATAAAATATGTGGAGTTAAGCCACTTTTACAGAGATGTTTTGTCGCTTTTAAAGAAGTCAGACATTTTTCAAGTGAAAAAATAAACAATAACAAATAAAAACTTTTAAGTTATTAAAAAAGATAAGAAACAAAGTTTTACATATCATAAACATTTGGATATTGAAATTTAATCTTTTTTGTATTTAATAAATAACAATATATAACCCAAACTTTCAGAACTTAAAGAAAATGGCAAGTGTTCAAATCACAGAATTTAACACTTACAAAGCACAACAGGAGCAGATACAAGAAGTTTGATCAGTTTTAAAATCACATTTAAAAAGCAGTTAAGAAGTTTGATCGAAAAACTCAACAATGATAATAAAAAATTAATGAAAAGAGTTAAAGAACATGAAAAAGAGTTGAAAAAATGATCTTGAAATCTGTCGCCTTTTAACTAATTCTATTAAAAGAAGTTACAAATATTTTAAGAATAAAAATCACAAATAGAACAATGAGTATCAAAGTGTTAGTATCAAACCGAAAGAGTCTTTATCAATTGTATTCAAGAAACTTATTTAATGTAACATGTTATAAAACCAACATTTCAGCTAAAATTAAATAATTATACAAATATTCTAGATCTAATTTTAACAGCAAACCCATTTTAAATATCAAGTTTAGTTCACACTGAGCCTTTAGGTGACACCTAAAGAGGTCATTAAGTTCTGAATATTAACTTTAACACCATGCCAAATGATTAAAAAGAAATAGAAAATTCAATTGAAACCACAAAGTTACTATTGAGAAGAGGAAACTATAAAAAACTCAGAGTTTTTGAATAACCATAATTGGAGAGAGGAATTCAAAAATTTAGATGTAAATCAGAATTATTAAAAGTTTATTAATATTTACGAAAAAGTTTGCGTTGAATGTATACCTAAAATAAAATCAAACAAAATGAGTTATAGAAACAATAAAAAAATTTATGGGTGAATGCACAATTTAAGCACGAAATAAGACTGAAGAAAAACCTTTGGTAACGTTACAAAATATCAGATTTTAAAAATACAGAACTAAATCAAGAATATAAAGAAAAAAATAAAAGAGTAAAAATCTAGTTTAAAGTAGCATAAAAGTATATGAAAAGAAAATTACATTAGAATCAAAACAAAACTCAAAACAAATTTATGCCTATATCAATAGTAAACTTAAAGCTAAGGACTACATAAGGTCACTTATTACTGATAAAAATGAGTTATCTAATGATGTACAGTTTATAGCAAACTATTTAAACAGGTTCTTCTGTTCCATATATACAGATGAAAATCTTAAAATTATTTCGTTATGTGAAAGTTTAACAATTTCAATTTGTCGGATTTCTTTGTTCAACGAAATTGATATAGCAAACAGATTATCTCAACTTAATGTAAACAAATTTCCAGGAAATGACAAAGTTCACCCATGAGTCCTGAATAATTGTGCAAAAAGTCTTAGCAAACCGTTATGCATTATTTTCAACCAATTGCTAGAATTAGAAACACTACTAGAATTTTGGAACGAAGCAAACATTACAACGTTGTTTAAAAAAGGAAATTGCTTAAAGACTACAGACCAATTTCTTTAACCTTGATAGAATGCAAACTAATGGAAAGTTTTGTCAGAGATACAATAATGAAAAAATTGTTTCTTGTTGATAACAATTTAATAATTAAAGACCAACATGGTTTTATAAAAACAAAAAGCTACATTACAAATCTGCTAGAAGCCTTAGATATGCTTACTGATCTTAAAGAAAAAGGTATCTGTGCTGATATTGCTTTTTTAGATTTAGCAAAAGCTTTCAACTTGATTGCACATAAAAGAATAATTCTCAAATTAGAGTCAATAGGTATAAAGGGGTTATTACTTAATTGGTGTGTTGTTTTTGAATAACAGAAAATAAAGAGTAGTTCTAGGAAAGTATGTATCAGAATGGGAAACTGTAAAAAGTGGAGTACCACAAGGATCAGTTCTTGGTCCTTTACTTTTTGTAATTTTCATCATGACTTAACACAGAGCTTAAATAACTAAGCTAAATTATATGCAGATGACACAAAAGTGATAGCAAATATATATATATATATATATATCAAATGATTTAAAATGAGAACATCATATTGAGTCTATTGTTAACAAAGAAACTATTATACATATCACTTGTGCGACCTCACTTAGAGTATGCATTTCAAATATGGAACCCATAATATGTTAAAGATATTAATCTTATAGAAAGAGTCTAATGAGCAATGAGCAACTAAAATTTGTTTCCCAAAAGGTATTAACTATGAATAACGGTTACAAAATATGGAACTTTCAAAATTGGTTGATAGAAGATTGCGAGGTGATCTAATTCAGATGTTTAGATTTCAAAACAACAGATAAAATAAACTAGCAAAACGAACTTGAAAGAATAACTAATACTACGAGAGGGCATGATCAGAAATTAAGAAGACAATTAGTAAAAAACTAACTTTCTAGGCATAATTTCTTTACCAACCGTGTTGTAGAATCCTGGAATATCCTAGATCAAGATGTTATTAATGCAACTTCTGTAAATGATTTTAAAAACAAACAAAAATGCTTTAATGAAAAACGGCTGTTATAGTCTAACATCTACTGTTGTTAGACTTGGTAAAACAAAAAAAACATTTGATTTATATTACATATAGGCATTTGATTTATATTACATATAGGAAAATCATTCTTTTTAATGTCGACTTAAAACTGTTTTTTTTTTTTTTTTGCTTTGCCTTATTCAACTTTGTTACTGAATATAACAACCACTTTAAAGAAACAAAAATAAAAAAAGTACACAAGTTATTTAAATTGTTAATTTATTTTATTTTTTTTTTATTTTAAATTTATTTTAATTTCCTAATTACTTTACTTTCTTTTTAGATTTTTTCTGAATTGCTTAATATAAGAAAACTTGCAAACGGTCGTGACCAAGTTGTCTAAAATAAAATCTTCAAGACAAAAAACTGCATGCGTTTCCTGGGAAGGCTTGTATTTTATATTTAAAAAAATGTTTGTTAATAATTGTTAAAGTCGTTATTTAAAAGCAATACCAGTATAGCAATATCATATTGATGGTGGAATAAATTGTCTTTAGTTTACAAAACAAAAGAATTGCAATTGAAATTCAATTCATTCAAAGTTTATACATATAATCAGTCAATATCGCACTTACAGATCTTTTATTAAAATTTATGAAAGTTTAGAAATCGAAAACAGTTTTTTCTTAAAGTGGTCAGTGACCACGCTAATAGTTTTTTTTCTTTACAACTTGACCACGGTTATTTTGATGTTTTAACAATTTAAATGCAATTAAAAGTGTTACATTGTGAATATCTTTTATTCATTGATCTTTTCTAAAGTTGTTATTTTACGCGAAAGGCTTTAAAATAAAACCATATATTTATTTTTAATAATTGTTTACATAAATGCGTGTGTAAATTAATAAAAAATGTTTTTATTATTTTTTGTGTAGGCATGATAAATTTAAACATTAGAAACTATTTTGCCATGTCTTCCTAAAAATCTTTAATCAAAGCATTCAAAGCATTAATTTTAACTTCAAAGCATTAATTTTAGAAAGATTTTTTTTAAGTTACTTTAATTTATGATTAAATTCAAAACCTTTTGCGGCTACTAGCTTTTACACATTTTATGTAAATTATACAAGAATATAAAATAACTTTATTTATTATATAAGCATGTATTTTGTTGATTAATGGAAAAGTTTTGAAGCATTATGTAATGTTCAAACGATTAATTTTTATAACTTACGATTTTTTAAAATCGTTAAAAGCAGCATATTTTTTGAAAAATAATTTTTTTTATATATATATATTTAAATTACGATAGGAATGAATGAGTTGAAATCATTTATAATAATTTTTAAATTCGTTAAGTGAAGCCCTTAATAATAAAGTTACAATGCTCAAATTAAAATTAAATTAAATTGTTTGTTGGCAGTTTATTTAATTTAAATCGCAGGCGCATTTTTTTTTTTGGTCCTTTTTTTATGAATAAAAGAGTTGGAAACCTTTTTTTCAGCTAGACTTATTAATATATAGAGCATGAAATTAATAAAAATTATTATTTTCAAAAGACTACGTTATTTTTTTAAATAATTTTTTTTTGCAACTTTTTTAAAAAGATAAATGTTTATACAATTTAAAAATATTTCATACATTTTTTAATAAATTTGATAAAAATTGTTCATTTATTAAACAATTGTTAGTAGTAATTTATTAATTTAAAAGAGTTTTGCGTAACTTTAACAAAGAGTTTAAAAAGATTTATTTCAAACGCGATTAAAAACATAAAAAAGTTTCGCTTCGAATTTAAGTTTTTATTTTTTATTATTATTATAGTGCTTATATAATATCTTTTTGGTAAAGAATTTTTTTCATTTTTTTTTCCTTTAGGAATTTTTTTTTCATTAACTTTTTTCCTAGTTTAAGTTTAGCTTAGCATTTCTACATTAGGCGCATTTCTGAAATGTTTAATTCATCAAAACATATATACAATTGTATTCAAGTTGTCAAGAAATAAAATCATTTGTGTGGTCAGCAATAGCGGTCAATCGCATGCCATTCCTGTCCAAGCCTGAGTAAACGATTTTGGTTAAGTGACTTTTAATCATTTTTTTAACTTTTAAATTATTCTATAAGTGGTAAGATAAAAGAAGTAATTAACTTTTAAAAAAATCACATTAACTTTTTAAGGACGCTTATTTAAAAATATTTGTTCAAAAGTTTGAATGAAAATTATGTTAGATATAAGCACTATTTACTAATGAAAAAACTCAAAGAAAATTAAAAATTTATGATTACAGTACAATCTCTCTAATTCGAACTTTATGGAAAAATAAAATTTTGAATTAGAGAGATTTTTGAATTATAGAAAGTTGACTTTTTCTCAAACATTTTTTCAAAGTAACGAATAGAAATGGAACAAACAAACAAATAATAATTCTTGAGTCTAAAAGCAATATAAATTGTGTGTTTTAAACTTTTAAATTTGAAAAAAAAAGTCAGTAATTGTAGATTGTTTTTTATGAGCTAGTAAATTCATGACAAAGACACAATTTATATCTTAAAGAGCCTTGGTCAAATTATCTCCAAATTAGTTTGCTTTTTCTTAAATTAGTTAAGCCATCATTTTAAAGATTGAAAATTTTTGAAGCATAACTACTTTTTACCAATGCTTTTATTTACTCCTCGTCTCTGTTTGTTTGTTTGTGAGCATCAAATCTTGCAATCAATTATTGAGTCACTTACTGATAATAGATTTTCTTCAAATTTTACACACATATATATATATATATATATATGTGTGTGTGTGTGTGTGTGTGTGTGTGTGTGTGTGTGTGTGTGTGTGTGTGTGTGTTGCAAAAAAAGTACATCAATTCATCAATTATAGCATATATCATTAGAAGCAGATTTTAATAAATAGAAAAATAATATATATATATATATATATATATATATATATATATATATATATATATATATGTGTGTGTGTGTGTGTGTGTGTGTGTATGTGTGTGTGTGTGTGTGTGTGTGTGTTGCAAAAAAAGTACATCAATTCATCAATTATAGCATATATCATTAGAAGCAGATTTTAATAAATAGAAAAATAATATATATATATATATATATATATATATATATATATATATATATATATATATATATATATATATATATATATATATATATATATATATATATATATATATATATATATATATATATAAATTAGTTAAACAACTGATCTAATTTTTTTCGACAGTCTGTTTCTTTTTCTGTAAGTTCATTAGGCTTCCATAAGAAATTTGTCATATAATATGCGTGACAAATTTCTTATGGAAGCCTAATGAACTTACAGAAAAAGAAACAGACTGTCGAAGAAAATTAGATCAGTGTTTTAACTAATTTATATATATATATATATATATATATATATATATATATATATATATATATATATATATATATGTGTGTGTATATATATATATATATATATATATATATAATATATATATATATATATATATATATATATATATATATATGTATATATATATATATATATATATATATATATATATATATATATATATATGTATATATATATATATATATATATATATATATATATATATATATATATGTATATATATATATATATATATATATATATATATATATATATATATATATATATATATATATATATATATATATATATACATATATATATATACATATAACAAGGAGGTTGAAAAATATATATAAATAATGAAGTGGATGGAAATATGTATAAATTACTATGCTAAATTACTCACCACTTGCATAAGGAACCTTTCTTTAAAATTTGAACTTCTTTTCTTAATGCTTCACACTCACTACGAAGTAAATCTAACTCTTTTATTAAAAATTCAATTTTCTCTGTTTTATGGACAACATAATTTTGCAATTGGTATATTAACTTGAGTGCATCTGATATTGATAAGTCTGCCATTTGAAAAGTCTTTATAATAAAAATAAATTAAAAAAAAAAGTTTATTTTAATACTTTTTTCAAGATTTATTATTATTTTTGAATCCAAAGCGTTGTTTGAATTTACAGCTTAATTTTACTTTTTCAATTTAAATCTAAATGTGATCATATCGAATTTTACTAAAATTAAATTTTAATAGTAAAAACTAAATTAAGCTAATCATGTTACGTAAACACAAACATGATACTTTAAATTTATTAGGACAACCACTGCGTTTGATATCGCGCTTTTTCAAAAAATTTGCTTTCAGAAATATCGTGTTGGGCCTCGATGAACTAATCTATCCTAAGCGCACTAAACTTAAATAGAATTCATAAAATACAGGGACCGCGCCGACGGTGAGGCTAGATTCACCTCCCCCTTTCACTTTTTTTTTTTAATTTTAATTGTAAAAATTTTTCAAAAATATTTTTGAACGAGTTTATAATTTCGAAAAGAAAAACTTGTTCTTGCAAGTTATTATTCTAAATGATCGTATTTCTTATGATAATAAATAGTTCATATTTTTCAAAAACACAATTTTTAATTTTTTCAAGAAATTATTTGGCAATAAGAATAAAAACCATATTTACAATATTAGTTATTCAAATAAAACACAACTTTGTGTCTGCATAGTATAGTTACTAATTTTTTTAATAATTTTTCATTTTATTTAAGCACAATATATTAATATATATTAATAATATATGTATATAATATTTTTCATTATTAAATAAATGTTCAATTATCTTTTACTTTGTTTGAAAAAAAAGGTCAAATTTAATAAACCTTAAAATTAAACATTAAACAACAACAAGTGTGGTGCGGTATGTTAACTTTCTTACTTGATGATCCGAACTTTCTTGCTAGCTTTAGTCATTAAAGCAGCACCGGTTCTCAATCCGGTGGGAAACTTTATTCTTTTGTGAAATACACGAAAAGGACTAGGTTCTAGTTTAGGTTTTAAAAACCACAATAATATTTTTCAAAGTTGAAGTTTAAAGAAATGCTTGTGGATCGCACATAAAATACGTAGGCTTTGAGTGAAGAGGGGGTCTGCAAATGACGTATATGAGAATGGAGGGTAGTGACTTCATGAGCAAAAAATTTAAAAAATCTATAACATTGCTAATTTTCAAATGAAAAAAAATCGATTTTAAAATATAGATTAATATATAAATAAAGATTAATATATAAAATATAGATATCTATTCAATTAAAATTTAAATAGCTTAATTTTGTTTTTTGTATGTTTAAAATAACATTACTTACTTAAAGTAAATTAATTACCAGCCTTCTAGAGTTTAACTTATAAAATCAGAGTTATATACTTATAAAATTAGAGTTAAACTTATAAAGTATGGTGTCGTAACCAAACTGGGAACATCACTTTTTTTATATTTAACTACATGCTAAATTACATAATTTAATTTTTTTTATGTAATTTAGTAGCTAAAAGACATGTTTGAATCATCTAGGATGTTTTCTTTAGAAGATGTAAGCAAAAAGATCATAAAAATTTAGGGTGGTGTTCTGTGTCGAAACTTAATATTAAGCGTAAAACAGCTTTAAAGCGTGTTTAAAGTTTAGCAACCTTTATCGATCTTAAAACATTATTGCAGAAACATTAAAAGAAGCAAAATGATGTTTAAGATATATTTGGTTATATAAAGAATATATTTTCAATATGGATTAATAAATTATGAAGATAAATGTATAATAATGTTTTTAAATACATATAAGTTTTTTAAACTTTGCAGAAAATATAATTATAAAAAAGGATGAAATTGTTTCTTTGGAAATGACTGAGAATGTTAAAAAATTCAATTTTGGAATAACAACTAAAAGGGTTTACTCAATTACTATCAAAAATGTTTTTCTTGTTGCTTTGAGGTTGTAAATGAATGGTTTTGGAGAGGCGAGGTTTTTAAAAACTTTAAAAACTAAATCTTAATGCAATTTTTAAAATAAGCAAAGAAAAAGCTACAAAATAATGGAGTCTAAAAAATGCTTAGGTTGGGGATAGTCAAATGTTCGAATGAACGAGGCGGAGGTGTTGTAGGACGTTCATTTGTCACTTCAAAGTAATTACTTTATTTAACTGTTTTGTAAACTACATTTCAAACTGCTGTGAAAACTGTTTTTGCAGTGTATTTAATTAACTTTGTTTTATACTCATCTGATGGAAAATAAATTGCTATCAAAAAATCAACATGGCTTCGTAAAAAATAAAGCCTGTGTAACAAATTTGCTAGAAATATTAGACATTTTAACAGCAAGCATGAGTGACAGTTTAGCGGTAGATATGATTTATATGGATTTTGCCAAAGCCTTTGATAAGGTTCCACATAAAAGACTGTTGAAAAAGTGTGAAGCATATGGTATCAAGGGTGTAATAAATGACTGGATATCGTCTTTTTTAAAAGAAAGAAGGCAAAGAGTTGTAATGGGTGTAGACGTGTCTCCATGGCTTGAGATTTTTAGTGGTGTGCCTCAAGGCTCTGTGCTTGGTCCTTTGTTATTCTTGATATTCGTAAATGATCTACCATCAGTTATTAATTCCAATTGCAAATTATATGCAGATGACAGTAAACTTATCAAAGTTATAAAAAATGTTGAAGATCATGAGTCTTTGCAGAATGAAATTAACGAATTTGTAAAATGGACGGATATCTGGTTGACAAAGTTGAACATCGAAAAGTACAAGGTAATGCATTTAGGTAAAAAGAATCCACGTATGAGTTATTGTATGAACCACGACGGCAAAGAGTATAAATTAAAAACAACAGTAAGTGAAAGAGATTTAGGAGTGATTATTTCATCCGACCTTAAATGGCATGATCAAGTGACTTCAGCGACAGCAAAAGCACAAAGAACTTTGGGTCTAATTAAACGTACGTTTACATACTTCGATGTGGAAATGGTGAAATCACTATATACGACATTTGTGAGACCGCTTCTTGAGTTCGCTATACCTGCATGGCAGCCTTATTTACAACGGGATATTGATGAGTTAGAGAAAGTGCAAAGAAGTTAGTTCCACAACTTAAAAAGATTTCATATGAAAAAAGACTGAAAGCAATGGGTTTAACAACATTAGAGAAAAGACGAGCTAGAGGAAATCTTATACAACAATACAGATTCAAGCAAAATATAGACCAAATAAATTGGTACAAAAATCCAAAACCGGCATCATCCGTGACTAGTTCAGGCCCGGCTTTTTCTGTAAGGGGCAATAAATACAGGCTAGAAAGAGAATACGTACCATCATGTTTACCGAGATATAATTTTTTTACCAATCGAGTTTGTAAAAATTGGAATTTGTTACCAAATGAAATCATTGAAGCAACATCGTTGAATGTTTTCAAAGCGCGAATAGATAAACATTTTTCATAACTTGTGTTTTTTTTAATTTGTGTGGGCTGTCTATAACCCGATGCTTGCATCGCGTTCCACAATTTATTTTATTTTTAAATATTTATATTTAAACAAATATGTAGTTGTTACAGCAATAAATATTACTACTATTACTACTATACTGTTATACTATTGATTAAGAAGGTTGTTAAAAATTTTACGAATCGGTATAGTTTTTTATTTAATTTAAGCAAATAACTTGTTTTAATTATGAAAAAAAGTTTTCAGTTTAGTTGAAAAAAGTTTTGATTATATGAAAATTTTTCAGTTTTGCTTAGTTTATTGGTTGTCGCAAGTTGGGCCTCTGCTAATCGGAAACTTAATCATCGAATATATTCGCGTATATCTTTCAAAAGCCCGTCAACGCAAGTACTGCGTTAGTACTCTACTGCGCTAATTTAATTTTAAAGTTAAAAACCAATATTAATAAATCTAATTTTTTTAAATTCCCTTTAAATTCGATGATCCTAACCTTTTTTTAATTAGATGTGCGAATAGACTATAATTAAATATAGTTTATTCGCACGTGAAAAACGTTGTTAGCTCAGCGTTTATATAATAAGAAGTATTTTTTAAATTTGAATCTAAAGGAAAAAAATTAATGTTATGAGTAAAAATAATATAATTAAGTAATTTTGAGAACAAATTAAAAACTATAAAGGACCAAATATTGATCCTGTAGAACACTACAACTTATTGATTCAAATTGTATACTCGATAAATCATAAAGTACCAATGTAAAAGTAATGTTTTCAAAGCGATACAAAGTTTAGTTGTCAAGATTATTTCATGTTCGAAACCGAGCTGTTCATGATAAAAAATATTGCTGCTTTTTTTCAAGTTAGTTGTACAGTCTATTACACATTATACGCTTTATTATTTTGGAAAAGCAAGAAATTATGTAAACTGTTCTGTAATTTAATTTTATCGAGTCATCACCGCTTTTTAATATCACAATTATTTTTACTTATTTTAATTGGTCAGGAAATATGCTGTTTTTAAGGGAAAGATTTAAAACTATGAAAAGAGTTTCTCAATAACATCAGTGACCGCTGATTTTATTTGAAAACATTAGTGCCATCAGCAAAAATAATATAATTAAGCAATTTTGATTTTAGGGCTTTTAAACACGCAACAAAAACCATGCTTAAAGTGTTTAAAAGCTACTACAATAAAATGTGGTAGAATGGTTTTTAAGTTTATTATTAATGGTGTCAATGTTACAGAAACGTAGTATAATGTTTAGACTAAGTTTCCGTAACGAATGCAAATCCAGTAATAAAAGTACACCACATTTAAATTTGACTTTAGAACATCGTAAAGTACGCGTTAAACTCTAGTGAAATCAACATGTTTTTTGTTAAATAAAAGCAAGCAAGTTGGTTAGTTTTGGGCGAAGTTAGGTACAAAAACACCACACCTTAACTCAAGGAAGTTGATGCTTTCACCTTTTACTAACTAAATATCTACCATAACTTGTTATTTATGTTAAAACTTCGAAATCATAGATATTTATTTGGTAAACATTCAGAATTTTTACACTATTAGACAATGGTTGTGAATAAGAGAGATAATATATACTCTATATATTATCTTAGTTACACGTTTTTGCTTGTTGAAAAGTATTTTTAATTTTGTTTTATTGGTGCTGCAACAATCAATTTTAGAATAATTGAAATAACAATGAATTAAAGCAAAATAAATATATTTAATTTAGGTAAGAGCTTTGATATTTTTAGAAGTTTTACTTATGGTTAAGTAAAAGTGATTTTTCCACGTGACGCTTTTATAAATG